GCTGAAGGCTAAAATGTGTGAAGAATGGTTGCTGGAATTGGCTTTGTCAAGTCTAGTGAAATGAAGCACTAAGGATGATATGATCACAGTGTTCCAATATTTGAAGGGCTGCCACAAAGAAAAGGAGATCCTCCTAAATATCAGAAGGCAAGACAAGAAGCAATGGATGGAAATTAAACAAGGAGAGAAGCAGCCTAGAAATTTCCTGACAAAACAATTAATCAGTGGAATGATTTGCTTCCAGAAGTTGTGGGTGCTCCAACACTTAAGGTTTTTAAGAAGAGATTGGACAACCATTTGTTAGAAATAATAGAGTTTCCTGCTTAAGCAGGAGATTGAACTAGAAGAGCCCCCCCCCAAGGTCCCTTCCAATTCTGTTATTCTGTCTGTTGCTATCCTCTATTTTCTGGATCTCTATGCATTTTAAAGGTTCCTTAAAGAAACAATATCTTGTTATGAATTTTTCTAAGTATGCAAATCCAGGAAAATACTTATTGGCATTACAAAGGCTTTGCAAAGGAGGAAGCAGCAGGTTAAGGTGGTCATAGTGGTCCCTCTTTAATTTGAATGAATATTTTCCTAGGACTGCATGACCACCTTACAAGACAAGAAATAGCACAGTTTGATTCAGGAGTAGAGACAGATGCATTAAGCACAATCCCACACTTTGAAGCACCTTTCCTGCTTTGAACCTGAATAATTGCATATCTCTACACAAACTCTTTGTTCTTTTCCTCCTGATACAAAAAGAACTAATTCAGATGTCAACAAAGAACCAATATTACAATCCACTGTTACAAATCAAGTATAAATTTCTCCTTTATCTTTCCATAATTGTTTTCATTCTTCTTTAAAACCAAATTCTTGACCTCTGTAAATTCAAATATTGGGGATATAACCAAAAAGTATATATCTATCTTTAGCATAATGATTTATCCAGAATCATACTGCAATTCTATATCAAAGGTAACAGTTGGATAAGATCAAAAGACATGAATTAATACACCATCTCCTGAATTGTATCTCCAAAAACAAGATGACTATAAACAAGCTTTATTAAGCATTCTTTAATATATTCTATCTACACAAAGCAAGTCATCATTTTAATCTCATTTTAACATCTTAGGAAATGAAATTTCATATTGTTTATAAGTGACCTGCCATCAGCTTCTCAGGACAGGATGGTTAAGTTTATTATTCCAGAATTTGTGAAAATAACTAAATCACTTTCATCAATTTATAATAAAAAAGGATTATTGGCTTAGGAGGTACAGTTACCCTCTTTAGAACCCCTGTGGAACTTCAGAAGCAATAGTAGCATCTGGACTAAATAAACTAAATACCAAATGTTTTAGTTGAATAAATTGCCAAGAAGCACTATGTAAATCAAATATAGTTTTAAAAATGCTTTCTTAAAACCAAGTTAATAAGAGGCCCGATTCACCTTCTACGTGTGTGAAAGAGAGAGAACAAGAGAGAAAGGAGGCTGGGGAGAGTAGATGCTATTTTTTAAAATTGTGAATATTTCATAATGGTCAAAATATATCCAATGTTGTCCACATTTGTTTTTCAGCATTGAAATGTATTCCAGCACAAACAGGGATCCCAAGATTTGCCAAAATTTTTATGGCCTCAAGGTGAGACCAAAGAACAGCTGAATTCTGAACTTTATTTACTTGTGGAAATGTGTTCCTTCTGACAAATGTTTCCCACAGAATAAACCATTTGATTTTCATAATTTCTACTGCCATCATCGTCCTATTCATAATATTCTGGAAGATTGTCATAGGTTTTCTCACAAAATGACTGCAATGAGATAATTACAAGTCACAAAGCATCTGTGTGATGTTCTCTCTGACCTAATCATGCTTTCTTCCTGCCATTCCAACTGTTATTTTCCATTTTTGTGTGTGTAAATAGCCTTACTTCCAAAGAAAGCATTGGTCTGCAACCATTGATTGTTTTTAATTTTTAAGAAGCTTATAGAAGAAAAAAAATGTGGAAAGTCAATTTGGATAAGGATTCCAAAAGATTCCAAGAGAATTAATGATGTATTTATTGATCACAGATCTTGAGTACAAATGTTTACAAAAAACAATATGATTTCCATCAATGAATACTTTGTTTACAATCACCTGATTGTGATGTAGACCAGAATATAGTTTATTTCTGATGTAGACTAGAATATAGTTTATAGATAGACATGGTCACCTAGATTTCTCATTTACAGTATCTTTGTGCCATTACTTCTATCTACTTTACTAAAAATGATTAGAAGCAATATGCTTTAGGTTTCCATCTTCTTTAATTTACTTTTTTAAAAGAGCTACATTAACATATTCATAGAAATCTCTTGGCACTGGCTGTAAACAATGAATTATGTTCAGGACTGCAGCCAGAAATAAGATATGTCAGAGGTCTATTACCCATTCAATCGAGAATCAGTAAATTGCCCAAGGGCATTGCCTTAAATGGGAAAGGGTAAAATAACTGAAACTGAGGCCCCAAATGTATCTGGAACTCAATCATATTGTTGATTTAGAATATACCAAGCATTTTTTGTAGTTGTCAGACTTAATTTAGCTTTTGCTGACATGAATGGACTGGCTTAAGATTTCAAGATAACAAAGGTTTTCTTTTCCTCCAATTTTTCACCTGCATGCAGCAAGTAGTGTGATTTTTAGGATAACTAGCATAAACATTTGGATTTCTGTTAAACTGTACTACTATAAAGCTGATCCCTGGACTAAAGGAACTTGTTTTTAGGCTTTAAGAGCTAATCCAGATCTGAGATAAGACCTTATGCTTTGATAATGTCATTGTTCTAGTCCAACAGAAAATACGACAATAAAAATGTTCCGACAAATTTATTTTGCATATCGTATTCTGCCTTTTTAACTCAGTAGACCACCTGGGTTGGATTGAGACCCAGGAGAAATATTGCTCTAAGTTACTTCATGGACTTTGGCCTAATATCAGTATTTTTTATTTTTTTGACACAGACATTGTAGGATACTGTGTCTTGTTAGACAACATTAGTTCTTTAGAAAAATTGTAAAGAGAGACAGAGAAAGAAGGGGGGAGAGAGAGAGATTCTGCAAAATACTAGATGGACTAGATCTTCTGAAACATTAATTTTCTAATTTTGAGTTACATTTATTTCTACAAAGAGATATTTTCATTTCTTGTGTGTGACATATACTTGTACAAAATAGAATCTTGTTTAAAATCATGGGATGTCTCACAATTTCACTTTGGAGTCTAGAAATTATATTTAATAGTTTTTGAGGAAACTATACTGAGATAGGTATAAGGAGAGGCAACAATACAATAAATAGGCTAATGTCATATACACGTGGGTATAATTTTCCTTTTTTCCTTTCTTTATTTCTAAAACATTTGAATGGTTTTTTTTTTTTTTTAAAATAGTTTATTTCATGAGAAAGAAAAGTGCTGGAAACCATTGTGCAAAATTTGTTAGTAAGAATTAGAAGAATTCTAATTGGTAAGAATTAAAAAGACTTCAGAAACTGTAAAATATGCCTTAAAAAGATATAAAGTCCTAGTACTGCAGGTTGTCCACTTCTATAATCTGTAACTTTCAAATACCTTGAAATAATGGAATGTATTTTTAATGTTCTAATACTTACCAAATTATTGAGTATGTTCAAGCTGTTTTGGAAATTATGTCCATCATATTTTTAATCATCAGTGACATGATAGGATGATAAAAGAATGGTATAATAATGCATGATTACCAATAATCATATATTCCTATGTGCATAAAATGACATTGCCTTTTCTTACTGCAAATTCTGATGTTTGGTTTTTCTTGTTGAACAAGAAATCTTAATAAATTAAAGATTCAGAGATTCTAATATATGTTTTAAATGATACTAGATTATGTTTTTTTTACTTAAAATGCTTGAAAGACTAAAATGCATATAAAGGTTGACCATATGTTCAGTCCTATTATCACTTTCAAAAATGTAAAATATATATAACCTCCAGCAAGACTAGATATACCCAAAGTTAATGGGCTGCCTATGGACCATGATCGTCACAGAATTATTATTATTAGCACATGGCATTATTAAATTAGCCAGGAGACCACATCGTTAATGCAGAGTAATAGTGTGGTTTCCAATTTACTAGCTCTGTTGTGATACATGCTCACATTTCCCATTTGTCACAGGGGGACGAGCTAGCTTCACACCAGAAAGACATTGCTCTTCCTGCAATGTCATCCAAGCATCACAAGTGGGAAGGGTCGGAGCCAGCAGGAATCTGACTACCTGTACGAAGAACCAGCTTGTCTTCCCACCAAAGTGGCACCTATTTATTTATTCGCATAGAACATGCTTCAACATAGAAACAGCTAGGCGGGCAGAAACTAAGACAACTGATGGGAGCACACCTTTCCACACAGGGCTTGAACCACTAGGCTTGAACCACTAGACCAAAGACCATTTCCAGCATCATTAAGCCACTACCATCACAGAAGGAAATGGAAGATGGAAATCTGTCAATGAAACAGATGAATAGATGTAATTTCCTGTTGATTCTTGACAGTAAATAACAACAATCATATATACAGAAGCGGAGGATAAATAGGATAACCACTTCCTTGCCCCTAAAAAGATAGGAAAGAAAAAAAACAAATAACCAGACCAAGCATCAAGTTGGCCTTTCTTCAATGTCATCTTTTTAGAGGAGGCAAGTTAACAATTTTCCAATATGGAATGGTTTGTTTCTCAATATTCTTTATAATTGGGCCATTCCTTTTATGTGGAAATAGTCATCTGTGCTAACTCCCACCTGCAAACTAAGGTGAAAGAGTTTATCATTTCTTAATTAATTAATTGAATTAGGACAATGTTTATTCAGACAAACTGTTTAATAAAATAGTCTAGATGGAAACACATATAATAATGAGAAATATATATCTGTAAATAACCAAGTTAAAGCTTACTATATTTAATATCATGAATCACAAGTGAGATTTGTACAGCAACTACTTTATTATTTTCAAATGCAAACTTTTGCATTTAGTTTGCTATTTTACAATTTTACAAACTAGGTATAAAAGACCATAAATAAATGACATAAGTTATGTGTACCTAACATTGATGGAGAGGGAAAAATTACAAATTAAAATAAAATAGAAAATCTATATTTCTATCTGAGATATTGTTCAAATCTGCAAACCCAAGCAATGCACTGTTAAGATTTCTTTTCTCCCAGTATGGACTAAAGTATCATATGCCTCATACATTCTAATTTTTTAAAACAGTCCTTGCATATTCCAACACATTTGCAGTGATACAAAAAATAAATGCACTCTCTTTTTTTTTTAACTTCTTAATCTGTCTAATTAATATTCAGGATGCTTTCTTTCTGGTTATGAAAATGCATGTAAAAGAAAAATACTGCTTTGAAGTTCTGGTTACTGGCTAGAACCAGCTTTTTGTTTTATACATATATATATTTATATATTTAATACACAAATCCATCACAAATTTAATACAGCAAGAAACCTGGACAAACATTAACCAGTGAGGTTGTAAGCAGATATTTCCTTAATGTATAGAGGTTTGCTGTGTTAAAATAGTCCTGTTGATGTCTCTTCTGTAACCAGGAAGAAATGAAGGCCAGTTCTATACAACATTCTGGCTTTTACTGGGCAATGTGTATTGTTTAGTATACTTGATTGCAATTGTGTCCTGGCTTTGCAGTCCATGCAGCTCATGGCTCCTTAATAGTGTTTCATGCCTTTTTATTGCCAACAGCACAAATACCTGAGCCCCAAAAATTGGTTTTAGACTTTGCATTCATGAATACAACAAAAATGGGAGAGGGTAGAGAGAACTGTAGGGATGGAAGGAGAAAAGGCAAAGATGTTTTGATAAAAAATTCCAAAAACGCTAGAAAATTTTAATGCAAAATTTACACATTCTTTTATTTTATTTTTTCTCGCTCAGTAATGTCGGTTTGACTATTCTGTTTTAACTTGTAATGCACTGTATTTCAGCAGAGAAAAACTATTCTGCAATCAGAAAACAGATCAAATATATCAATGGCTGAGCTCAAAATATGGAATGGCAGTATAGTCTCCAGGTTGTCTCCATCCACCTGCTTCCAAAATCGATATATATATATATAGAAAAGGAAAAGTCTCTATGGTCTATCAATCTTTCTAGCAAGTACCAATTATTATTTGTCAAAGATTATTGTAGCAATGCAGAGAAAATACCCTGGTCACTTTTTTTCAAATTTTAAATGTGTTTTGATCATTTTAAATGTTTTCATATTATTCAGCTGGGTGAGGGGGAAGGAATAATTTGTTCCACGGTCAGTTTATAAGCCCAGAAATTCTTGCAAATGGCACATGGGATAATTCATTTCTGTGAATGGATAAGGATTGCATATTTCTCTTTGTGTTCAACAAGTCTTTTCAATACTGTTTTTCCAGAAAAAGAAAAATAGTCCAGTTCAAAGCAACCTGCTGATGGGTGAAGACTTATATTCTCTATCTACTTTACCTTAAGGTATCACTGATTCAATAATGAACAGCCTTGGCAAGACTAATGTTTATCAATGCTGTTCTTTAGCCATTATGGAACTCATGATGGATCACTCCACAACCAAAGTGAAAATGTCCCTACTCTAGGCTAGAGAACTAATTTTTAAGGTTAGTGTGGCAGCTACATAATATATGTATAGATACAGAACTGGAACATTCAGGAGTATGTGTGTTTTCTCCCTACTGTTGCATAGCTCACCTACTGGCCCGGTAACTCAACAGCCCAGCCACAAACTGTCAAATTATCTTGAGATGCTATCTGCATATTCACAGGTGGCCCTGTGCAACAGGCAACAAACTTATTACATGTGCATGCACGCACGCACATGCATGCATACACACACACACACACACACACACACACACACATTAAAGTCATCCATATCCTCACACAATCTTGGAAGCAATAAGTTACTTTCCATTCTATTAAAAAATATTGACATTTTAGCATTGGCACACTTTCCATAAAGTATCGCTGGACTATCATATGCAATTTCAGCTTTTGTTAACTAAGTTCTGCACAGGGGTACATTGCCCTGGTGTCCTTATGGCTCCGATACTAACATTTGGAGAGACATAGCAACAACATGCAAGGGGGGGAAAAAAGACACAGCATGTAGGTGTGTGTGTGTGTGTGTGTATGCACGGTGCATGTGTATATATGTCTGTAGGGCTTTTATACAGTACATTCCTTAAGTGGAAATAAAAGAACTTTATCTGGATCTTATATTTGCTTTTTGTTGCTGACAAAACCTTTTCAAAAGGAAGAAATCCAAAGAGATACTCTTCAGGAAGTAAAAGCTGCTTATTCGTGGTCCATTTTCTCTAAGTCAGTGCTGAATAAACTGAGACAATTGAAGGTGCTTGTCTCTAGTCTGTTATCTTCCAGGGTTAAGATGATCACCAGAAAGGCCTGATTTCAAGAAAGCAGGGTCCATTTTGCCTATCAAAGGAAACAAACAAATTCCAAGTCAGAACTTGATATCTCTGATATTTTTAATATCAAAAGGAGAAATACAATGCATGTTTTAAGTTTATCACAGCAAAACCCTACACTGGATATTTTTCTATCTTCCAAATAGTTTTTCCTAAAACACAAGTTACAATAAATGTATGATTTCAGACACTGAAAACATTGAATGCTTTCAAATGGAAAAGCGTCCATTATCTAATTAAAGGGAAAACATAATCATCTTGGAAGTAGTGCATTTTGATCTAGGAAAGTCATATTAGAAAAAGAAGAAAAAAACTTTAGTAGAAGCTGGACTCAGAGATTGAGCTAATGTTACCCAGAGAGTCTTCAATTTATGATCAGTTGCTTTTTGACTGTTAAAAGTTTTATGGCCATGGAACAGATGCCTTATGGACATAAAACACCCCCAGCTGCACTGCTGCCCTTGCAGACACATGACTGCATGTTGAGAGGGCAGCTTCACAACTGGTCATGGTGTTCCATGGTTATGTCACTACAATTCATGATGTTCTTCCAGCAAAAAAAGAGAAAGAAATGAGACAAATGATTGGGTTCACTTAACAAGCACATAATTTGCTTAATGACTGCAGTATTCACTTAATGACCACCATGAAAAAGGCCAGAAAATTACTTCTGGTCACATGGATGTCTTGATTTACAACCAGATTTCTGGTCTTAATTATGGTCATAAAATGAGGACTACCTATATAAATTGGATCCTGCTCCTGGTTTCATTAACAGCAATGTCTTCTAAATTCTCAACTGTGGACATGGAATGCAATTAGAATCAGAATAGACAGCAAGCTAAGTAGACCAATAAGCAGATTCATATACATAACTTTTTTGCAAATAGCATTTCGCTGAACAGTTGTAATACATATACTCACACCAGTGGTGGGTTGCCCCCGGTTCGGACCGGTTCTATAGAACTGGTAGTAAAACCGGCAGGAAGCTCCGCTCACAGACACTAATGTCATCAGAAGCGACCTGCGCATGCGCAGAAGCTTCTGCGCATGTGTAGAAGCAAGGCGCGCACACCTGTGTGATCCCATTGTGAACCGGTAGTAAAGGTAATAGGACCCACCCCCGATTCACACATATTCACAAAGCATATTAAACAAGAAGTTTCAGGAACAAGTAAACTTAGGTGGATCATGTTCAAGCAATTTAAACACAGATTCTGAACATGGATATCAACAGATGAACTTGATGCACTGGAATCAAATTAACTACATAATAGGAAATAAAATATCAAGATGTGCAATTCAATCTCATCCAGCACACTTTCAAATGCAGACTCTGGAACAAACAGTACACAGTATTTATAGATATTTGGTAGAATCCATGCACATTAGGATATCTATGCACAAATGATATGAAATATATAATTTGACTTTTTTTTTTGTTCATAACATTTGCTGATGATGTCTTGACACATTTGTCATCATTTGCCCCATTGTCCCTCCCAACAAGTACCCTTGCACAGATAGGTTACATTTAGAAAATTAAATAGATGTAAAATATATGGGTTAAACTTAAAAGATAGAGCAATATTTGATTTAGAAAATATGCAGTCAGTATGTAAGATTAATGTAAAGATTATAATCAGACACTCACATGAAAGAAAGTATGGAAAGAGATAAGAATTATTGTGAAAACCAAAGAGGAAAAATATTCCTAAAATGTGGAAAAAGCTCCACCTAATTCATGGCTTCTTGGACAACAATAGCTAAGGGTAAAAAGGCTTTCTGGACAATGAAAACCATGGGTTGAAAAAAAAGATTGACTTCCGGTTGACATTGTGGCATTATCGAATGTGGGGAGTGTGTCTCAGTGAAATCACGCCTAATTCCTTCGTTGGAGGGCCCCATAAAGGGCTAGTGTCACCCTGTAGGGGTGACGAAGAGTTGAAGGGTGCCCTGCAGGTTGCGGAGAGTGACAGCTCTCCCACTTGACTCAGGGCTAATTTCCTTTCATCTGACAATGAAGAGTAGAGACAGCCATTGTGGCTGCCATGAAATTGGGGCAGCTGAAGAAACAAAGAATGGTGCTGGAGCGGTATGGATGAACAGTGATTGGAACTGGGTGAGCTGATTCTTTTTTTTTTAAACCTAAAACCTACCCTAAAGAAAATAAATTTTAGAAAGTAGACTCTTTGAAAAGTTTTTAAGCAGTGACAAAAATCACAGACTGGAAAGAAAAGTTTCTAAGAGGAGACTGCAAAACCTTTAAAAACCTTTTAATTTTTATTGGAAATAAGGCATTTTAAAATGCTGGAATTACTTGTCTGAATTTTGATTATTTGTTTGAATAATTCCAATGGAACATGTCAGATTTTGTGCAATATTGAAAGTTAAGCTGAAGGCGCCATTTACTAGTGAATGGAATAGACATTTTATTCCTATAACCCTGTGAAAAATACTGATAAGACAGAGGAGAAAGTGGAAATAAATAACACCTGGACAACTGCCATGATATCTACTGCTCTATACTTATCTATTTCATGACTACTGGAGGTCTAATGACTAGAACATGGGACATCTAAATAAAGTGACTTTCAAATACTAGGAGTTATGAACTATGAGTTGACTTAAGGAGACATTTGGAAATATTCCTGGATTACTTAAAAAGAACTAATTGACTAAATGTGGGACATAAAGAATTATAATTACTGTATTTCCTGAAAAACAATGTCAGGATTGTGTAAATGGTTTCCAGATCGACTTTCTGAGGTCAAAGATAATTGAGACTCTGGGGCGGTGATAGACCACTGACAGACTATGGAGCAACATTTGGATTTATCAAAAGAAGACAAGATGTTTCAGCAGGGGGAAATAAGTGGGTTGCAAAAAGAAATGGTGTTGATGTTTTGAAGCATTTATGATATGATAAGGAATCACAAGGAAATAAAGGATCTAATGAATAACACAGATGGGAAGCTAGAAAGTGTTCAACAAGGGATAATGAACAATGATAAAAAAAAACCCAGGAAATAGAGGAGATAATAGAAAGACCAAGAGAAGAGATAGAACAGACAAATCAACAAATAAAACAAGAAGATAAGGCAATAAAGGGCAATAAAGACTTATGAAACAATTCAGGGAAAATGCATACTAAAAGACCAAAAAATGGTACTGGATAAACAGAAAGATATTCTTGAAAAGAAGATAGAGACTTGGGCTGACCCTCTTGAGGCTTGGTAGTAAAAATGGAAGAAACACTTAGGCTAAACAGGAAAGATGTAGATAGAGATAAAGGGAGGAGTTTGGAGGCAAGTCAAAAAATGAATAAGACTTGAAACATTAAAATGGGAAAGAGATGATATATAGAGGAAATGTTTTTGTAACACAAGATTGACTTTACTAGGAGCTAGAACAGAGGCAGAAACAAGAAATAGGGGGAATATTATTATACATATTCCTATATAATATACTAAAAGTAATAGCTAGATATAAAGATTAGATGGTGAAAGATGGTAACACTATGTATGTTTTAATGATATTGTTATTGTCATCAGAAGGGCAGACTAAAATGCTGAACAACTAAATAATCAAGGTCTATATTTTAACACAAATATGTATAATATCATTACAATTACATAAGTATGATTTAAGTAACAAATATTATTAATACTACCTTTACAACTTGTATCCAATGAATGATAACCAGATGTCTCACTGTTCATGTATTGATATTGATGTATATTCAAAAATTTTAAAAAAGTTGATGACTTCCAGTATCAAGAAAGGATAAGGAAACTATCTAAAACGAATGAGATACATGTAAGGGTAACAGATAAATCAAAACAAAAAGCTACTATACAAAGAAATAATGAATAAATAGAGTGGTCAGAATAAAAATGAAAATGAGGCAAAGATGCAAATTCTCTCCAGAACTGTTTTATCTGAAATACTAAATAAGAGACTGGAAGGTTTGGAGTAGGTGATGGCAGAAATCAAAATAAGAGACTGAAGTCTTAACAACTTTACATGTGCTCCTAAAAACACTTTGTCAATTTAAAGTGAAGACTTAGAAAAGGTCATTATTGAAAATAAAACCTGGCAAATGAAAAATCTGAGTTATGTCAAAGACGAATATGTTGTTTTCTTTTCTATATTTTTTATGCTAAGATGACCAAGTTAGTGTTGATTAGTATTAGCTACTGAGATTACAACTGACAGCAAAGTACTGACAGTAGTAATACCAAATATTAAAGTATATCATTATGATAATTTGCTTTATTTACAAAATGTGACATAATTTGCATAGTTTCAAAACATTATGGAAAATTGGTGCACTGTATGCAAAAGTCATTGCTTCTAGTTCTGCTATATCAAATTTTTTCTCTCTTGGGCTTATGGATAGATAAAGATGGAGATGGTTCTGGAGAAATAGAGAGAACATGAAGGATAAGGTGATTTCTTTGCAACAAAGACCAAAATAGTTAAAGCAGTGGTTTTCCACTGGTAACACATGGCTCTGAAAAGAAGACAAATGGAGACAAAAGAGACACACACCTTCAGATTATGGATTGGAGATGACAATTAAAGTACCATGGGCTGCAAGAATAAATCAATGAATTCCTGACCAAATAAGACTGACTTCTCCACTAAGAAATGATTAGCAAGCAGAGAATAGGGACATTATGTTAGATGGTGAGGTACCAGAAAGAAGAATACTATGCTTGGCAATGAAGTAGAGCAAGTAAGGTGGTGGAATATATAAAAGAGACTACAGAAATTGTCCCTGAAACAGCTACTAAATTGAAATAACAAATGTTTGTTCATGCAGTCACCAGAAGTAGAACAAGTTGATCAAATTGATGGCTCTTGAGATATTCTATTCTTCTTATAGATCTCTTATCATCTTGTCTCATATGTCATGCAAAAAGCCATTTTGGCTAGTGAACCTATGTAGTGTTATGGAAATTGAAAGCCAGTTTACTGTAGTGATTAAAGTGATGGACATAAGATTGTGAGTTGTAGTCCACTTTAGGCATGAAAAACTGGTTGGGTATCTCAGGACAGTCACTCTCAGAGTTATTATTATAAAGAAAATAGGAGGAGAAAGGAATATTATTTGTGTTTGCCTTATTATTATAAAAATAATAAATGTGGATAAAAATATTTAAAAACCCTAAAGCATTTTTTAAAAAAATAGTCAGTTTGTTAACAAAATGGTATTAAAATGATGGCTTTTTTAAAAAAATTAAAGTACATCCTTCCAAATAGGAAAGATTTATGGATAATCCTTTCTCCTCCGCCCCAGAGAGAGGGGGGAGGGAGGGGGAGAGAGAGAGAGAGAGAGAGAGAGAAAGAGAGACCACATGAAAGAAAGGTTTTATTAAGCTGTCACACTGTATTTCGACAGTATGCAAATTTAGCATCTATTTCCAACAACTTGATTTCAAAAACTCATTCATGAGAGAAACTTGTGGTTAAAATCAACAGCTTGTTGTTACAACTGACAAGAATTGATGACAGTGATGTTGGAAATATGAAAGGTTTTACTTGTCTTTTACTTTTACTTTAGTGTAATTCACTAACTCCTCTGTCTTCCAAATAAATCTGGTGATTTCTAGCAGATCAAATTCCATTGTCATTTATAGCTTATTGTGAAACTATTGTCACAAATAATAGAACTGTAGATCAGAGGGCAACCAAAATTTAATTCATTGAAAGTGATGTTGCTATTGTGAAAATAAGTTTAGTTGAAATGGTCTCCAAAGAAGATTTTTGCTTCATGATATTTGTATTATTTCCACCAATTTATGTGGCTGTACATCCTCTGTTACAAATTACCTCATAATCTAAATTTATAGATGCAATTTCTATGCATGCTTATCTGGGAATATGTCTCACTCAGCTCTATAAGACCACAAGACATGTATGCACATATGTATTTTGTATGTACAGTAGATGTGATGCATGTATGTACAGTATATTTTATTTTGTTTGTTTGTTTTTTCAAATTTGGGACTGCCCAACTCCAGAACAACTCTGGGTAGCTTAAAAATTAAAAATAAAACAAAATAAAAAGCCAGGTATATCAAGAAAAAGAAGACAACTGACTGGAAGAAAGAACAAAAGTATGAAACAGCAAAAAATAAAAAGTAAAATAAAATCAAAGGGTTTCAATGAGTCTAACTCAATAATTGCCTGGGGGAATAGCTATGTCTTTAGCAGTTTGCAGAAAATCAAATTATGGAAGCACCATGAATCTTTGGGGAGAAAATCATTCCACAGTGCTGGAGCCATCACTGAGAAGCCATGCTTCTTAGATTCTTTAGGATAACAATTTCATATTTTCATTCTTATCTAGGTAGTTTACAAAACCCAAAATCAATAAAAACATTAGAAACATAACATAGACGGGCTGGACTAAAAGAAACATGACAATAAAAAGAAACCACAACAGGGAGCCTCTAAACATATTCCCTTGGATCTGGACCAAAGTAGGTATAAAGGATTTTCTGGAATTCCAGGAGACCTGGAGCATGCACATTGTGACTGACCTCACCAGATATGTAAACACAAATAGAAACAAGCCAGTCCCCAAGTAACCAGGTCCTGTGTTATGAAGGCTTTATATGTTGAGGGGTTTTCAGTGCTCTATGAGCTTGCTTGTTTTCTTGCAGACTTTTCATTACCCAAACTAGGTTACATCATCAGTGCTAGGCTTTATAGGTGATAAACAACACTTTGAACTGCACCCAGAAACCAACTTGCAAACAGCTCATGAAGCAGTGGAGACATGTGCTCATATTTTCATTGTTCATGCCATTATACTCTAGCAATGTAGCTCCATGTAGAATGTATTATAATAATTCAGTCAGGAGAGACCAAGGCATGAGTGTCTATCTGAAGGGCCAGATAGCTTTAATCATCCAGGAGATACCAGGATCAAAGAGGTGGCCAAGCTTACAGATTGGAGGATCTTGTCCACTTCCTCAAGAGCTACAAACTCATTACAGACAATCTTACAAGCCATATATCGGACATATCATCTGGACCTGTTGAGTTGGCGTTCCACTCCAAATAATTCCAAGTGACAAATAGCTAAATTATAGACAATCTTGGAATATTTAGCACTATCTCAACTCCCAGTAATGTTAATATAAAGTTATCTACACTTTTTCATATTCATTTATCACATTCTTTTATATGCAAGTAGTGAATTTTAAAATTTAAATTTATGATTTTTCTAGATTATTTTGGCACTGATAGCCCAAGGACATATTCCTTATTATTTTGGTTCTACAATTCTGCAATAAGTCATTTAAGATAAATTGACTGTACCGGTTAATTTAAATAAAGCAAAATTAATCATTTAAAATGCTTTGCACATAATCATTGTCTTAAGACTGATTGTTTAACAACTTTTTGGAAATATGAGAGGCTCAATTTATGATAGCCTTGGAAAGGGCCTAGAGCACTTCCAGCCATTGTGCAGTGTTGCACTGCCCCCGAAATGTGAATACATTTCGGGTTTTTGGCCACTGGCTCACTGTTATTACCAGCTGCATCATCCTGTGGTCACCTAAACATGCTTTTCAATGTTTTCTGCTGCGTTCCAGCATTATTTGCCAATGTAAATATACCATTTTTTTGGAGTATAAGATGTACCTTTTTCCCCAAAAAAAGAGGATGAAAATCTGGGTGCGTTTTATACTCCGAATGTAGCCCCACCCAGCTTCTCAAATGGAGGTTTCAGAGGCTGAAAAAAGCATCAGAAATGAAGCTTCAGAAAAGAAGCCCCCAAACAGAGCTTCAGAGGCTTTTTTTCTGAAGCTCTGTTTCAGAGGCTTTCAGAGGAAGGAAAAAAAGTTTTTTCTGAAACGGAGTTTCACAAGTTTCAGAGGCAGAAAAAAAAGCAAAAAAAAAGCAAGGTACAGAGCTCACAACCAAGGAACCTATTGCTAAAATTCACCTCTGGAAACAGAGGTGATTGGGGGTATTCTGGGAGACTGATCCACCTGCCAATCAGCTTTTTTCTTATTTTCCTCCCCAAAAACTAAGGTGCGTCTTATACTCCGAAAAATATGGTATATATACCGTGTTTTCCCAAAAATAAGACCCTGTCTTATATTTTTTTGAACCCTGAAATAAGCGCTTGGCCTTATTGCCCTGTGCTCAAAAACCCGATTGGGGTCTTTTACTACAGAGATGCTTAAGTTTCCATGTGAATCATCCCATGCTTTTTAACAAACAAATAAGTATAAAAGTGAGAATTATAAGGCTCAGTTTGCACAAAGTGACAATCATTGCAAATATGTCAACAAATTATTAAGGGAAAGTGGAGCCCATTGGTGATATCACAATCTCCTATTAAGCACAGAAAAAAGTATAATAAACATCCTTTATGATTTCCACCTCATAAATGCACTGTTTTATTATCATTAATGAAAATTGAAACAACAACAGAATACTTCCACTGACCTTTGCAGTATTGCACTGTCAGTGGCCTCTTGAAGGATGGTTAGATGCAGATTTGGAAAATCCATCATTAAGAATGGCTGACTAGTAAGATGATTTCTAGAACCATGACAGATATACTCAGTATAATGCAACCACAACCAACATTCTTCCCTCGATAAAAGAAAATAAATAAATCCAGTAATCCGTGAAGGTTGCTCCCTGTCTTAGATTGCAAGTGGATAAATCTTGAGAGGCACTGATCATCCAAATATTTTCCTTTAAGCTTTCTGCAGAGTACCATGGATGCCTAGAATATGCCAACATTTCCTGGTTCAGAAGATTCTTTGTTCCAATAAAAGATGAAGGGAAAAAAATGGTTTATCCACAGATCAAACACAATAATTGTAATCCCATGGCTGCTGGGGTGAACAACAGTATTTCCTTTGTTTAAGCGCAGTATCTGGCAGGAAACACAGCTTCAGAAGTTGAATGGATGTTTTATAGATACAAGTATATTACATAATGCTGATCCACATATAAGTGTATTCCAGGAAACAATTTGTTCCAGGCTTGTTCTCAAATGACGACCTGTCATTATTGTAGGTTCCCTCCTTGCAACACTATTAGCAATCTTTATATATCAAACAGTGCTGCAAATCATTATTATTGTTATTTCAATGGCAAGGAGAAGAAGTAAAAAAAGTGCAGTTCTTCAATTAAAGTGCATGGATGAGGTAAACTAATTTCAAGAGTTTAGAGTTTATTCAGTACTGTCTCAAACTGGAACCATCCTGCCGTGCATTTGTTGCATTTGGGTCCTCATTGCTTGGACGCTGTTCAAAATCTTATTCTGGTGTGCAATGGCAGTAATTCCAATTCTTGCCAGGTCACTACATGAATTAAAAAAAAAAAAAGAATGAGCCAAGAAATAAGAACTTTATGCCAAATATGTATCTATCATTATCAACAAGAGATCTATAATAATAATGAAAATCAAGGTGAATTTATATAAATTCTTAATTAAATGTCCTAATGTATTGTATTTTGTCTGTTTTATTGAGGTTTATTATAACATAAAATACAATGAAAATAAAGACTAAGAAAAAAAGGGAGATGATGCAGGATTTTTTTAAAATAGTGGTTAACTTCCAACGTAATTATCTATAATTTCCAGCATGGTAAAATGTTAATATAGCTTAAACTTTTTACAATTACCTATAATTATTATAAGCCAATTCTATTATGACACGATTATTAAATCTTCAAACTAAATTCTAAAATTTCTTTTTTTTTCTATTTCAAGCATAAAAACCAGAAGCAATATCCCAATAGAATGTCTGAGTGCACTGTAGAAAGTATTTGCAAATTATATCCATTTCAATATTCTACTATTAAAGGCATATCAACATTCTAGTGACTGATTAAATTTATTCTGATTAAATACAGTTTTATAAAAAAAAAAATGTTAATACTGCTGAGTACTTACTCCTGGTTCATATGCACCACAGCCTCTAAGGTAGTATAGCTGGCAGCTGTGAAGTTATCCTTATATCGCTCCATTTTAATAGCCTGAAGCCAATCACCAACAGAAACTACACTTGAGAATTCAGGAGAACTTGGATCCAGCAAAGCAGTATTAGGCCTAGACCAAATACAAACACATTGTTTTAATTAACAAGGAAAGCATCTGGATTTTAAACTTTTCAGTTATTTTGTATAGTTAGAAGTACAAGATTTATGCATATTTTCTGGGGAAAAATGGTTTGTATTTTGCTTGATGGGAAAGACTTTAAATTTGTGAATGGTTTAAATATACACAATTCTTTTTTTTAAAGCAGACACACTGCTAAAGAGAAGTTCGCTGAGGATGGGCTCCAGCACAAGTCCAAAAGCTCAGAAGATAAAACTTCTAGTCCTGGTGACTGACCCAGATTGAATCCTGCAAAAAAATCTTCATTAATAGTACAAATGAGGTTCTGAGGATTATGGTGAATTGTAAATGAATTAAGTCCTCTCCCATATAGACCATATCAACTAACAAAAAAAAAAAAAAAACCTTCACACAAATGTTGATTTAATACATCTGAAACACCAGTAATGAAAAGTATGGCCCTTCATACAATCTGGAAATGCAGAATTTAGAAAAAGCTTCCATCAGGCCTCTTCCTGGCCAGATATTTAAATAATTCCATTCAAAGCAGGTACAGCGAAGAATTAATCTATTTTAACCAATTTCTGACTAATATATATATACGCAAAATGCTAGCACTGACCACTCATGGCTTCAATTTTTGCAATTTCTACTTTTTAATGATGTAACTTTTTACAAAATATTTTAATTTGAAAAGTCCATATAGTAGTGGAAACTTTTACATGTTGTGTACCATTTTTAAATAAACCACAACAAATATTTATTATTATTAAAATAAAGGAAAATTTAGTGCTTTTATTTATTTCAAGTGTGGATAATCAAAGATTGCAAGCATCTTGTATGAGAAAAATATTCCTTTTAATCTTTAACTTTGCCAATTTTTTTCAATAGCCTTAAAAGAACACTTCTTTGGTAGTCTGCATTGTTCAAAGCTGTATCTAAATATACACACCCATTCTTTTCAGGATATTTGATGCTGGTGTTAAAAGGAACTTCATAACAATAAACACTCAAGATCAGATTCTACATGACAGGAAAAGCTAAAATAGTCTAAGATATATGCTTATCAGAAAATTGGAATCAAACATTGCTGGTAGAGATTAAACACCTGATAATAATCTGGCCTTCCTTCTTAAATAATTATATAGTGGCAGGTGAGTACACTTGTCATAGTACAGGTGCAGTTAGAACAAACTAGAAGAAACAAGAAGAGAGCTACTTTTCTGAATGTAAAATGAGAATGATTTTTTTTAAAAAAAAACACTTTTCTTTAAACGTGTATTGTGAGCATTTAAATTTAATATTGTTCATTCCTCTACTCATTTAATGCCCCTCACTGAACTAATTTAGGGGTGTGCAATTTCCCTCGAGATAAAGATATTCGTTTTTTGGAATATTTTGTTTTCTTATCACCTTTTCTCTCTGGCTAGTCATGACATCTTGTTCCAAGGGACACATGATTGTTTATGCTCTTTAGGGGAATTCTCTGTTCCTTGTGATAAGAGGTATTAAAAAATAATAAAAAAAATTGCAAAGCATGACAACATATATTAAATTTCTTTTAAACTCAGCTGAATGGAATGTATTTATTCCTGTGCCCATGGCAATATTACTTCAATTAGAGTTACATAAAAAAGTTGTATTACTATTACTTACATTAAAAATATTATATGAAAAATTGGAGGTTTCCACCAAAATATTATATTAGCTATGGGTTGGGTCCAAAGTATCTGATATACAAATGGTGGTTTATGTTCTGAAGTGCTGCTAGAATAGGACTGTAAAATTTGGAAAAATTTAGATGACACTAAAGAGAAAATGCTATGTCTTTCCTGTCATCTGATGGTTATACAGATTGTGGTGGCCCAATTATGGTAGCCTATTTAAAGAAGGTAAAATAATTACATTTTCAATCTAATTCTGAATTATACTTAGTCAGAACTCTATTTTAGCTGAGTATAGTATACTCTATTCAGAATACCACTCATGATTTGAAATTAATGTTTTTCTCAGCCTTACTTGAAGAGGTATACATAGGTTTGAGCTTGGAACAGTTGCATGAAAGAGAGTCTCATGCTCTGCTACCTAAGTAAAAGTATGATTCATGAGTTGGGAACTGGAGGAGCTAGGGATTGTAGGCTTGGGAAAGCCTTCTGCCAACTTCCTTCTGTGAAATTCAACTTCATGTAGGTTTCTAATATAAACCCCAATTTACAATGATACATGAATAGAGCAAATTACAAATTATCCCAGCTGCATCCAAGGTAGCGTACTACTTTTTTTTGCTTGACAGAAAGAAAAGGTCACCTATTCAAATTGCTCCATTAAAAGGCATTTAAATGAAAAATTAACAACAGAACTTTCAATTTTAGTCTTCTAGAGTCATCATTTTTCATAGAAAAGCCTTCTCAGACAAGCCAGTTGCCCCCAATTTGGTTCCCATCAGATATGTTTGTGTGTAAATTTCATTACCAGCCAGCTATGTTGGCTGAGGATGAATTTGTAGTATTACATATCAGACTACATCATGTTAGAAAAGGGTAAAAAAATGCTTTTAATTTTAAGAATTGTCACCAATGACCATTACGGTTTTGGCTGGCTTCTTTCTATCCACTGCTTTGGACTCTTTTACATGAACTTCCCTTCAGCAGGGGTAAAATGCACTTACCTTAGCTATCGGATCAGGAATGTGAGTGTGTGCGCTCTCATGAGCGCCGTTTCTGCGCATGCGCAGAGGGTCAAAAACAGGACGTGATGACGTCCCAGCAGGTGGGCTGGCTCTACTGCCTCACACGAGCCAGATAGATCCAGCCACATTTCACCGCTGCCCTTCAGGCAAGCTGTTCAAGGCAATTGTGACTTTCACTCGGCACGTGTGAATAACTATGCATTCCATTCTACTTTCTGTATTTTCCATTCCACTGAAAGTACCGTCTTTTCCGGCGTATAAGACGACTTTTTAACACATGAAAATCTTCTCAAAAGTCGGGGGTCGTCTTATACGCCGGGTGTAGTTCTCCTGTAACCAGGCAGACCAGCCCGAAAGGCTCTGACGAGCCTTAAATGGCTCTGGCGATCCCAGCTCTGGCGATCCCAGCTCTGACAATCCCAGCTGAGTTCCCTGCAACTCAGCTGGGATCGCCAGAAACCACGTAAAAGGGAAAAAGTTTTTTCCCTTTTACTCTGAGGATCCCAGCTCTGACGATCCCAGCTGAGTTCCCTGCAACTCAGCTGGCATCGCCAGAACCATGGCTCTGACGGTCCCAGTTCTGACGGTCGATCCCATCCCAGCTGAGTTCCCTGCAACTCAGCTGGGATGGCCAGAGCCATGTAAAAGGGAAAAAGTTTTCCCCCTCCAGCTTGCTTACCTCAGCTGCTAATTGCAACGCTTGCCTTGCTTTGCTTGCTTGAATCTATTCAGGCAAGCAAGCAACTCCCTGCCTGCAATCAAGCAAGGAGTTAGTTGTGGACTTCAACTCCCAGAATTCCTCAGCCAGCAAAGCAAAGCTGGCTGAGGAATTCTGGGAGTTGAAGTCTACAAGTCTTAAAGTTGCCAAGGTTGGAGACCCCTGTTCTATTGGGTAAGTTTTTTTCCCCTTTGGGAGCTTTAAAAAAAATAGTCAATTGGGTTTTTTTTAGTTGTTCTTTTTTAGACCTAGCCATTTAGGAAGCCGTTTAGGAAGTTTTAAATTTAGCTTTCATATAAAAATAAAAATAAAATAAAATAAAATAATATTTGTGCAGCTTTCTGAGATTTAGTGTGTTTCTGTAGTGTTTCACTCCAACTACACACACAAAATCTCACAAAGCTGTATGTGGAATTTTGTGTGTGTAAAGTGTGAAAGTTGGTTTTTTGGACTTTTTGTGGCTGTGTGAGGTTCCTGCTTGTTGCAGGGGCCATTTTGGGTCTAGCACAGCTGCTTTTACATTGTGGGTGAGCCAGTTGTGTTGTGTTGTGTGTGTTTAGAGTGTGAAAGTTTTTTGGGGGGGCTTTTTGTGGCTGTGTGAGGTTCCTGCTTGTTACAGGGGCCATTTTGGGTCTAGCACAGCTGCTTTTACATTGTAGGTGAGCCAGTTGATGTTTTTTAATTTTTATTTGGTGTGCATTGGAAGAGGGGCAGTCTTATATGGCAAGTATAGCCCAAACCCTATATTTTAACAGGAAAAGTTGGGGGTCGTCTTATATGCCCAGTCGTCTTATACGCCGGAAAATACGGTATTACGGATTATTCTGTGCATGCATGTTTGTGTTCACTGGAAGCAGGAACCTTTCTATATAGAGAATACACCCATCTATTAGATACTTTCCGTAATAATAATAAAGTTCAGGCACAGCTAGGTAAGGCAGCTACTTAGATTTACCTTGACATAATGATTAGATTCTTGCCAGGACCTTGTGTCCACGAAAGAATCATTGGAACAGGATCATAATTAAAATGCACATACAATATTTATTTTAATATTTTGGATATGTAAAGGGTAAATATATAGAGTAAGGTTATTTTGGGAAGTATATCTACTATTAAGTATATCTACTATTTTATACTGGTAAAATATAAGTAGCCTGGTCAGAACTATGAAACATAATTCAGTTTAGCACAACTGTTGAACTGAATTACAATTGGCTGTCACTACCAATATTTTCGCTCATCTATTGCTGTTAGAAAAATACAACTGACCTGGAGCTTTCTGAGCCTGTCCTCTTCAAGCTATTGGGATTGCGGATGAGTTTGTCTAACATGTTGACAATCTGTCCAAATTTAGGTCTGTCACTACGTTCTTTCTGCCAGCAATCCAGCATCAACTGATGTAGAGCGATGGGGCAGTCCATTGGGGGTGGAAGCCGATAGCCTTCTTCAATGGCTTTAATAACCTAATAAACATAGGAAAACAATATTTTAGGAGACATTTTAATGCAGAGAAGCAAAGCAAGTTTCATTTAGTTTTGGCATCAATCAAAAATTATCTTTATACTGTATAAGAAATCCCTCAATACGTTTATATTTAATCACTTGTAGTGTTAAAATAATGGAAAGTAATGTCATATGAAATGTACAGATAATAAACATAGGCCAAAATACACACCTTAAAATTGGGATCAGAGGAAAAATTGTTAGATAATGGTATAATGCCAGAATACTTTAAAAAAGTTATTAGATTGTGATAGAGGTTTAAATGTTGTGTTGCAAGCTACCAGAGTTACATATTTATGAAATGGGTGGCTATGTAAATTTGGCAAGTAAGGCAAATATTGTTCCAATTACAAAAAGGTAAAATAAAGGACATATGTAACTACATTCCAGTTACCTTGGTATTGTTATTGGGCAAAATGTCTATTAAACAATTTATTTGTGAAAATTTATAAAATAGTATACATCTTGATAAGGATCCACCCAGGGGTGAAATCCAGCCGGTTCTTACAGGTTCTGGAAAACCGGTAGCAGAAATTTTGAGCAGTTCGGAGAACTGGCAGCGGAAACTTTGAGTAGTTCAGAGAACTGGCAGCGGAAACTTTGAGTAGTTCGGAGAACTGGCAAATACCACCTCTGGCTGGCCTCAGAGTGGGATGGGAATGGAGATTTTGCAATATCCTTCCCCCAGAAGTGGGGAGGGAATGGGGATTTTGCAGTATCCTTCCCCTGGAGTGGGGTGGGAATGGAGATTTTGCAGTATCCTTCCCCTGCCATGCCCACCAAGCCACACCCACCAAGCCACACCACATCCAGCAAGCCACACCCACAGAACCGGTAGTAAAAAAATTTGGATTTCACCACTGGATCCACCTATTAAGAAGTCATATATGACTTAATATGATCTAAACATGATCATGACCATGAAAAAGAGGTGGACATAATTTAACTTAACCTGCATAGAATTCTAGTATACAAAATAGCACAATGAGAATAAACTATATGACTGTTAGGTCCAGAGATGACTGAAGCATTCTACTCAGGAGGTTGTGAGTTAGATCCTAGGTAGAGGCAGATGTAGGGTCTCCTGCTTGGACAGGGGGTTGGACTAGATGACCTGCAAGGTCCCTTCCAACTCTGTTAATCTGTTTACTCAAGGGTTATTTGTACATCAAGGCAGAATGTCAAATGACGTATTCAGGACTCCATTCTAGTCCTGATATCATTCAACATATTTATAAATGTCTTGGTAAAACTGAGGAAATATGAGTATCTGATTTATCATCCAATTTGTGGATGATATAAAAATTGGGGATATAGCAAACACTATAGAGAACAGCATTAGGATTCAGGAAGATATTGATAAGTTAGAACAATGAAATTAACAAGATTATTTTCTACAAGAAAAAAATATATAATATTTCATTTTGGCAAGAAAAATCAAAGACATGATTGTAAGATGGGCAAGACCATACTGGACAGAATTACAGCATCAAGATGAAGAGAAGCCATTGTTCCTCTCTATTCAGTTATGGTCAGAGTATAATGCGAATAACTGGTCAAATCATTTTAGGAAGGAGATTTATGAATGGAAGCATTTCCAGAGGTCAGTGTCCAAGATGATATGGGACTAGGAAAAAAAAAGTTTATGAAACTCATTGGAACCATTTTATACGTTTAGCCCAGAGAAGAATGTACAACGCATGACAGCTATATTCAAATATCCGAAGGGCAGTCATGTAGAATAGAGGGCAGAAGTGCTCTGGAGGACAAAACATTGAACAATGGCCTTAAGTTACAAGGAAATTCATTATTTCTGGGCATCAGAAATAATTTCCAAATAGTCAGACTTTTCAGCAATAGAACAATCCTGACGAAATGTGGATTCTTATTTGCTAAAATACTGGATCAGAAGCTGGTGGCCATCTGCTTAGGATACCATAATTGAGAATTTGATGAGATAATCTCCAAAGTTTTTTTTTATGATCCTCATATTTTATGATTCTATCCTGTCATAGAATTTTTCTTCTAAGTCTCAAATGCTCCCCTCTCCAAGAAAGTGCAATGGAAATTTACTTTAAGGAGTATAGCTATTAAAAATTTTCTGCATTAAATGTTTTGTTGTTCCAGGGTTCATTGATCTTCTGGCTGCCAGTGAAACCCTGAAGAGATCAGCATATAACCATATAGATTCCAGGAACCAGACTACAGTTCAACTGTTGTATAATGGTTTGCATCAGTCTCGCTGTTATTAACACCTGGCTCTTTTTAACTCACTCAAATCTGTCTGTCATGAAGTGCAGGAGTGGCGTAATTGCTCCCTACCCTGTACCCCAGAAGGCCAGCTGCAAATTATCCTATTGTGAAGTTTGTAATGTTATATGTGTGCAGTGATGAATTATGGCAATATGATCTCAAACTTGTTTGCATAAAAATCACATAAACTCTTCCATACATGCATCTCATTATCATATTTGCCTATTTGGCAAAGCTACTGAGAATAAGCTCATGCATAATCAAGACCCAGCTCCCAACTATCGGGCATGCCTAGTTCACAATACTTCATGCCATCACAGCTGGCACTAATGGGCACTCTTGCTGGCAATCTTAACAGACTGAAGGAAGATTAATTGGCCACACACATTGATTCACACAACCATACAATTTGTTTCACATGAAGAGTAGTTCAGGCACAATGACTAGCAATGTGGATTCATACTTCTACATCGCCCCTAAACATTAAGAGAAACAGAGAAGAATGTTGTCTTCCAGGTTTCTAGAAACTCCACCCTATTCACGAAAATAAAATTAATAACTTTCCAAGTCTTATTTACATTCAAAAAGAAAGAAAAAAGATATTCTCTCATTCCCACTGCCACTAGTAAGCATTTTCTCCATCTAAGTGACAATTTGAATGCTATGAGGATTTTTTAAATCTTTTTTTTTTAAATTCAATTTTTATTATGGTCATGGACAAGCACACAAAAAAATTAAACATTAAAATAAAATAAAACTGTACAGAACCAAACAACATAAGGCATAATAATATATTACACTTCAGGGCGAAATCAATGGGTGACCTAAGTTTGCCTAATTTTACAGACAAAACTTAGCTATATTAAGGGAAACTAAATCCTACTGATCCAACAATAGTCAACAATAGTAGTTTTTCATAGAAATGATCAGAGTTCCACATATTTAATCAGATAAGTTTATAAGTCCATGAGTCACAGACTCACAGGGGGCAATACAACAGGACATGAGCTGTGGTTTCAATGGCCCCTTGTCCAAAGGGGCACAATTCTGGTAAAAGGCATCAGAACTGCACTACAATTCAATTAATCTTTTAATTGGACAATATGAACAAAAGGGCAGCACTAAATCTATTTTTCTTGTTGATAAGAATGTGTGTTTATAAAATGCCTCTGATACATTTTTTCCACATTAAATGTTAGTGACTTTGTTTATTCTGAGTTAAAAGCACAGGATCATCCTGTTCTAATACTGTCTACTCTGAATAGGCCTCCTCTCTTAATTCTGCTACTTAAAATCCTTATCTTCAAAGTATATGCATGATCTTATACAGTTGTTTTATGTTTTATATCACTGATAAAATGTGTCCCTTTCTATAGTTCCCTTTTGAAGGGTTTTAAAAAGACATCTGACTGATGTGATAAAACACATTTGTAAACATCAGCAACTTTTAACTTCTATTAATGGGTGAACGTCTTAAAATTAGTGTACTTCCAGTTGATGACCAAAGGGTTCTCTGTTTTATATCTCAGGAGTGAAGGAAGCAAGAAATGTTGAGTCGTTTATAAATCAATCTGATAATGCTTATTTCTTATCTCACTGGGTTGTCTTCCTTTTAAGATTGTTCTGTCATATTGCAGTTGCATTCAGTCTCATTTAGAAAAACAAATTTTATTAACTCTCACTTGGAATGAAGTATTCCAGATGGTAGAGTAAAAGAACTTACATAATGTACAAAAGGTCATTGACTAAAGCTCATTTATTAATATACTCAAAGGAGATATCTTCTGATGTTATTATTCCTCAAACTTTTCACACAATAAATAATAATAAAAGCATCAATAAAACTGTCAGCTCAAAATAGGAGTTAAACTCACATTAGGTTCAAAATATCAACGGAAAACTTGCTTTATACATATAATAAAATATTTTCAAATGAAAAAAGTGATACAGAATCAATACCATCAATTTCGTCTCCACAGTTTGAAATGCTTTATAACATTTCATTTTTTGAGGCAATGCATTCCTCCATTCTTATGGTATGATTAAAACATGTAAATTGAGTACTTAACTGCCTAAATGTAGACCTATACAATACGCTGCAGAATCTCAAGCAGCCAAATATTTCAAGTTTTCTCAATTATTTCTCTGTCTTGTCAACATTTCTCCTTCCTGAACATTTGAAGAAAGGTGTGAGATATTTTTTTTAAAAGGGTAGATGTATGGATGAATGAATGATTCCCTTCCTGACCAACAACAACAGAAGCAAAGCTCATGAGCAGTCCCTTCAATCATTCCTTGATATTTTGCTATTCTCTAATCAATTTCACAAACTCTGGAAAATCTGCTGGAAGTTAAGCACTTCCAGTTAATTTGACTTTTTTTTTGCTTGTATAATTTGTAAGAAATTCAGTTGGTGGTATATCCCACAAATAAAAATGGAAATGAATTAGGGTCATAGTCTTTTGATTGTCTTTATCCAATCCAAGTTCAATCTTTACAGCAATTATTCTGATATGATAGCCTTTCATGGCATGGGTCCAGGTTTCTTGAGGGAATATCTCATCTCACTGAAACTGGCCCATCCCACTGTGCTGGCAGAGTAGTCAGCCCGATTATTCTGGTGGTTGGGGTCCAGAAAAAGGGCTTTCTCTGCTCTTGCACCTGCCCTGTGGAACATCTTGCCCTCCAATATAAGGTTGACTTCCTGACCTTCGACAAGAGCCTAAAGACCTGGTTCATCTAGCTAGCTAAGGGCTCCAATGGCGGAACATTGCAGTAGGATACAGTGGAGGTGGTTGATCGATTAACAACAGATTCTACCCTCAACCCCATCCTGCCCCTGCCCCCCATCTTTTATTGTACCACAGCTTTTGGCTTGATTTAACTTAATGTTTTTAGAATATTTATATTTATATTTCCATGAATCTAAGTTGCCCAGAGTTACCTTGTGGTAAGACGTATAGCCAATAAATTTTATAAATAAATAAATAAATGAATAGCAACTATCTTATCAAATACATCTTAGCAAAATTGTATTTATCCCAAAACAAAATATGCTCCATTAACTTCAACCATAGACTGGTAAAAAAAAAAATCTAGTGCTGTTTCTGGGATCTTAGAAGATTGCCCTATGGGCCACTTAAACTACGAAATAAAAATGTCCAAGTGATGTAGCATGTTATCAACATCTCAACAGTTCCCAGTCTCTTGCAGGAGTTCTGGCACCTTTTTTCCCCATTTAGATCCATGCTAATCCCACCTTTCAAATTTTTCATAAACTGCTAAAACCTCTTTCTTCCTTTTCTTTCTTTCTTTCTTTCTTTCTTTCTTTCTTTCTTTCTTTCTTTCTCTCTCCTTCCTTCCTTCCTTCCTTCCTTCCTTCCTTCCTTCCTTCCTTCCTCTCTCTCTCCCTCTCTTTTTCTCTCTCTATGTCTCTCTGGATAGCCTTTAAAATAAAATATCACATTACACTGAATAAAATGATTGTGCTATAGTCTCATTAACGTTCAATTCCAACTCCATGGCAATTTATCACAAAAAGTAGTTCCCATGAAGACACTTACATCTTGATTGGACATATCCCAATAAGGCCTCTCTCCATATGACATCACTTCCCACATGACAATTCCATAGCTCCAGACGTCACTAGCAGATGTAAATTTACGATAGGCAATTGCTTCTGGTGCAGTCCATCTGATAGGAATCTTACCACCCTACAAATAAATCAACAGAGGCATTTATATAACTGCAAATGCTTAAGGTTTGTTTATGCATTTATACAGGATTACAATTATATATAATGTTCATAATTAGTTATATAAAGAAACAGGACATTAATGAAAAGATAACAATCCCTGTTTCCCCACAACTCCTCCAAAAGGCATACTTTTGTGTAAGCAAAAGAAATTTGGAAGCAAGCAGACTTAAGCATGAAAAGTTCAACCTCTTCATCAGAAAGAGAGGAAATAGTTTTCTCATCTTTATGCTTACCTCAAATGGTATTTAAAGTATGAGATAAGTATATAGGTGAGGAAGATATAATATAGGTAGCTGTCAACTTATGATCACAATTGAGCCCAAAATATCTGTTGCTAAATGAGACATTTGTTAAGTCAATTTTGTCCCATTTTACAACTTTTCTTGGCCCAGTTGTTGTGAATCACTGCAGTGGTTAAGTTAGTGACATGGTTGTTAAGTGAATCTGGTTTCCCCACTTTGCCTATCAGATGGTCACAAAAGATAATCACATGATCCCAGGACATTGCAACCGTCATAAATTTGACTCAGTTGCCGAGTTTCTGAATTTTGATCACGTGATCATGCGGATACTGCAAGAGTTGTAAGTGTGAAAAACGGTCATAAGTCACTGTTTTTAGTGACTTTGTAACTTCAAATGGCTATCAGATGAGTTGCTGTAAATTGAGGACTACCTGTAAACATTTCAGTGGTTGGAGTGGGTTTCAGGGTCCTGCTAAGAAAAGGGAAGCCTAAGAGCTTATATTGGGCTTTTAATTATGATCAGGCCTTGCAGATTATTAGGCATATACTTGCTATTTAAACGACACAAAACAGTTTGCTCCTTTTAAGGAAAATTATGATTTCTGCATTTTATAGAATTCTGCTTTTATACTGAGCTCTCTTTTTTATTTATGAGGAGAAGCGAAGATCAAGTGTTGCTGGCAGGGACTCAAAATCATAAAATGGTCTTATGCATTATATTGCAATAGGTTTTGGGCTTTTGTTTTATTGTTTTGTTATTAGTATTGGTATTATATTACACTGTGTATATGTATTGTATATGTCTGTGTGTGGGTGTATACACAAACAAAAATGTATTGATTTCTCTGCTTACCGCTACATTAATGTACTGTGGGGTCCAGGCTCTCTGAACCTGAGTTGTTTTCTTTCAGACATTTCATTACGAAACTAGGTAATATCATCAGAGCTAGAGTGCTAGTTATTATCTAGTTTGATAATGAAAGGACTGCAAGAAAAGCTCAGGGAGGATCAAGGATCCCACTGTTCAACCCTGAGCTACAAATATTCTTCTTCTATGAGTACATTAATTTGCTAAACTCACAAAATATGGTTTTATAAGATTAGCATTTCGTTCCTATCATTTAGATGGTTGCTAGCAAGAGCTGTCTGCTGTTCCTGCCAGGCTTGTTTTACATGAACTTGACTGAGAGACACATTTATCAAGCAACTCGATGGCCTGTTCACAGTCAACAAATCAGTTCAAGAATACCACTCTGGAATGCTTCAGAACATGTATACTGTTCTAAAACCGAATAAAACATGTTGCTATTACAATTCTAATGCGTGTCTTCTTATCACCAAATGTGGCAAGAATAATGGCTATAAACAGTACCATTCTTATTATTTGCTTTAGCTTCTCTAGATCAAACATGACCATAAATAACTAAATAACATAAATTTTATTTGCTTAAAAAAAAGACAGAATCACTCTTCTTTTTTTAAACCTCATCTGGTACAATCCAACACATGTATTTTTATGAATAGCATATTTTTATAATATTTTTATTACAGTTTACAAATGCAAAAAGAAGAATATAAAAAAATAAAAAGTAAAACAAATTAAAAAAAAGATTTATTAAAAAAACGATTTTTTTCTCCAAATAAGTACTTCAGGAATTTATGGCGTTCTCTGACATTTTAATAGCATTTGTACTTTCCATAACTCATCTCTTATCAATGGATAAATTACACAATTTCCTCATTCACTCTGAATCAGCAAAAGTCCATTAAAAGCTATAGGAATAACATATATACATGTCTGTGTGTACACACATACACACACACACACACACACACACACAGAGGGTACATACATATATTAATCTTGATGAAATAAGTCTATTTATATTGTTTCTTAAATCTACTTTTAAAAGCTTGATCTTTAATCCCTTAAAATGATGTCCTACAGATATTCTCAATCATCCAGGCCATGATTGTCTCAAAGGTACGCCTTTTTTTTTTCTCAAAAGGCAACTGGACTTGGTTTTGGTTTTGGTTTTCCTTTGAAAACCTTTTGCTTCTGATCCAAGAAGCACAAGAAAGTCCAGTTGCTTTTTGAGGGAAAAATTAAAAAGTAACATTTGGACATTATCCCACAAGTTGATTTCTTATCATTTTCTCTTAGTCTCCTGTCAGAAACTCCTTCATTAGGAGTTTAAAATATCTCTAAATCCAAGATAAGAAAGCCACCCAGGTCATTCTTCTAATTCATTATTTGTATGTTCCCTTTTATTATTGTTTTATTATTATTAAAAGTTTAGTCAGTTAAATTCATGGTAGCATCATTTTGCATATCATTCTTGTAGGCTGGCATTTGTAGATCCAGTTTCAGATCCACATACAAATTAGCTCAATCTCTATTTTGTCCAGTAAAATCTGTTTCTTTTCTGTAACATCTTTTAAATCCAATATTATAGTAGCAGATAATCTTAAAGAGAAATTTCTGAACAGATTTTTCTCAAATATCCTTGAGTTCTTCCATGGTGAAATAATATTGCTCCATATATTTATATAAAATCTACAAAAAGATTTCTTACAATTATTTTCAAAATCTTCCTGTATATTTTTGTAAAATTTTAAACAACTCACAGGAAATATTCTTTCACGTCCATATGGCCTCTGTTTATAACTTTCCAAAATCAACTAGTCACCCTTTTGCTGTTTATTCAAAAATAAGTTAATTTTTTTAAAATTTTTATTCTTTTACTGTCCTTATCTTGTAAAAAATGTATTTAATCAAAGATAAAAGGAAATTCAATTGGTATAATGAAAATTGGCCTTCTGAAGATTCTTAGCATCCAAAAAAATCATTAACAAGCAACATGCTAAGGTGGTTCAGAGAGGAAGTATATGAACCTAGTATCCATTTAAAGGCATTGAACCATGGTTTCAGTGAGATGTCGTTCTCCCATTCCCAGAGCTCTAAAACAGTCTTACATTCTCTTAATGGGAAGCCTCTGTATGGAGCGAGCATTGTGAGCAATCCAACCTTTTCCTTATCTATAGAGGAATTCTGAGGAACCAGTGAACTCACTGGATTCCTTTTCTGTCATGGCATCAGCTCCGTCCTCCACAGAGCTAAATCTGCCATTACTTCCCCATAAGTTTGATTTTTATGAATAACACATTACGTTGTATTATAACCACTGTTACCAAAACCAAACCCAGTTTGTTTTATCTAACTTGTTTATAAATCCTGGGATGATTTTCATGATGCCTTATATTACTTGCCCCTTTAAACAATAAGAAACTATGGCTATATGGGACTGTTATAATCAACACATGAAAAACTGGGATAATGGCCCAAAGCCAATTAAACCACAGTCTATATTTATCACAGAGCAAGATACAATTGACAAAGAAACTCAGGTCACTATCTAATTTTAATCACAAACTCAAGGATTAAGCCGTATGTTAAAACGATGTGGGAAGTAAAATACAATGGTATTTCCTGTGCCTGCCACACAAGCAGATTAGAAGAAAACCATTGAAACACTATAAGAACTGAGGGTGAGGTCCTGGTTTATCTTCTATCCCAAAAAAGTGATGGAAAACACGATTAAACTAGATTTACTGTATTTAAAGAAATTGGGGAAAAATACCTTGTTTTCAGGAAGCTGAAATTCTGCCTTACCAACCTTTAACATTACTTGCAATTTAAGAACATGAGACCACAAGAAGACCTTTACTGGATCAGGTCAAGAGCATATCTAGTCCAATAATCTGTCAAGCACATCAGACAGATGAATGGTGCATGAAGGGGATAATTCTCTTCCACTGCTGCTCCTTAACAACCTGGTTTTTTTTTAATCTATAGTAATAGAGACAAAGAGTCCCTCATTTTTTTATGCTCTAAGAATGTGTTGACTCCCTTTTAAAATAATCAAAATTGGTGACCACTTTATTGGATATTACAACCTTAACTATTTGTTGCATTAGCCCTGATTTTCCCCAATTTTCCTTTAGTTAATAAATGAGAGGAGTAAACCTGCTCTCCATATTTCCAAGCTATGTATGATTTTATAAATATATTATATATGATTTTATAAATCTATAAAAATTAGAGAGCCAGTTTGATCTAATGCTTAAGGCACCCAGCTAGAAACCAGGTGACTGCAAATTCTAGTCCTGCCTTAGGCATGAAAGCCAACTGGGTGACTTTGGGCCAATCACTGTCTCTCAATATAGCCCAGCCCATTCCACAGGTTTGGCTGCAGAGGAGAAAGGAGTATTAGGTTCGTTGGCTAACTTAAACTATGTATAAAAATAATAAAAAAGGATATAAATTTTAAAAATCCTTCCAGAACATGTTTGGAACATAGAAAACTTGTTACATTATGCTGTTACATAGTATTACTGTAATTACTATAACTAGTCACCATACCAGTTCTTTTAGCCCACAGGCAGGTTTTCTGCCTCTGTCCTTCTCTTTCCTCTTTTGGTAAATGGGCAGATGCTTACACAAAGCAGAGGATTAAAGCAACCAATCCCTTTTATTTTTAGAAAATGTTCATAGGTCTTTGTGGGTCTAAAATAATCCTCTAAAGTAAGAGTGATGCTCTGCTTTACTGATTTTCTCATGATATTCTTTTCTTTTTCTTTTTTTTTAGTTTTCTGGGAACATCCATATATCTATGGCTGAAAGCAAGACATTAAACTGTCATATGCTCTTTTTTTGTTTAATTCACTTAAAATACATGTTCTTGTGCCTGGGATATAACTGTGTCTACGTAGCATTTCATTTTTAGTATCACCTGCACCAACTCCTGGACTGAAAACATTCAATGACTGGTGATTGGAACACAGTCTTGCACTTTAGTGTTGGCAGCTGCTCATCGAAATGATGAGAAAGACACAAGCACATGAGCTGATTTCTTGCACTCATGGTATTTGATACTTTGGATGGTAGCCAAGTTATAGCTTTCTTTTTCATTTATTATGGTAATGAAAAAAAAATACTTTTTATCCCTATAACCCATATGGTTAGCTTGGCTTGTATCAGTGGCATTTAAAAAAAAAACTATAACAATTTGAAATTAATTGTGGTTACTCAACTATGGAACTTATCCAAACTGTCCTGAATGGTGATATCAAAACAAGACAATATACTGTGATGCAAATTATATATATTTTTTGCTGTTCCATTGGAAGGGAAAACACTTCACTATATTTGCATTGCTGAATTGCAAGGAAAGCTTTTCAATCATTTCCTCCTGACCTTCTGTTTGAACACAGCTCTCTAGAAATCTGTCTTGGCTCAAAACCTCACTGCCCTTGTTAGTGGGAAATTACAGGGCTGGACAGCATTAAAATACTCAGAAGGCAGATTGCAATTTTCTTTCCCCTCCCCAGTCTTTTTAATGAACTGCATGTTCATTATAGGGGAAGTCTGAAAATTAAACAGCACAAACTAGATTTTTCTAACAATCTCTGTACTTGGGAAAACAGATGGAGAACTGCTGGCATTTAAAAGCAAAACATCTAACAAAATTATACTTCTTCATGATAAACCTTGCACCACCTTTTATCCTAATGTGTATAAGCTTCAAGGATGTTTATGATCACCAGGATACTGCTGTATAAGCTCTGATTTTTGCCTCATTAGACTTTTTATGCAGTCAACAAAAACTCATGAAGCCACTAAAGTGAGTATTGTTCCACCAGTTGTAAACATATTTGTGTTCATGAAAATGTCACTGAGCTCCATAAATAAGCAAACAGCACATGAAAACACAAGTTATTTTTTTTCTTTGCTTATTTACTTACTATAGTTTGAATGCTGCTCAGCTCCAAATGGCTGTGGGCCACTTATATCAAGCAACACAACAATAAAATCATTAAAATAGAAATGTAATCAAAATAATGTCAATCACTTCTTAATCATAAAATATGATAATTAAAACAATATAAACTACAAAAACCTATTTAACAGAAGCAGGTCATTGTCTCTCAATATATTCATTAAAGTTGTATTTTCTTCAAGATTCCAATAATGAGGGATATTATATAAATATTGACAAGTAAATGAGATTTACAAGTGTCTTTTCAATGCATGTCTTTAGATAATATTACATATTTTTCAAATATACATCTAGTATCTTTATTGAATTAGAAGAGATATACAATAGACAGACAGACAGAGAGAGAGAGATGGACAGACAGATTTTGACTTACCCTAGTCGTATAGGCTGCTTCAGGATCATCTTCTAGAACCCGGGACATACCAAAATCAGAAACTTTACAGACCAAGTTGCTGTTAACTAGTATGTTTCGAGCAGCTAGATCTCGATGAACATAGCTCATGTCAGACAAATATTTCATTCCAGAACCAATTCCTCGGAGCATTCCTACCAACTGGATTACAGTAAATCTGCCATCATTCTTCTGAGAGGAAGGAATAAGGAAGATAAATAAAAAGAACATATTTGTGATCAATTATAAATTCTCTTTCCAACTTTTTGGATTCTCCCTGAACCCACCATCAGCATTATTTTTTAAAAGTGAATAAAGACGGATCTTTATGAAAAGTTGTGCTAATGTCTGTACTGACTAAGTAAATTCAAGCAGGTATTAGGTAACAAATTGATTCTCCCTTAGATCCTCTAAGCTACTTGTAGGAAAACATAAATATATCATACTAAACATGCTGACTTTGTTGATAACTCACTTAAAAAGTGAGGTAATAAGGGTGAACAATTTCTAAAAATCCAGCAGTAAGTATTCAAACTTTACTGGTGAGAAAAGTAATATATTCTACACTTGAGTATTGTATTCCTCCTTGGGACCAAGACCTCCTGTTGCTCAGTTCTCAAGGGGTGATGCATCTTTTAAAAACTCTCGTACTGTATTACATTACTTTCTTTCTTGCCATTGAGCCCTATAATTAACTGGCAAAATATAATCCTGTGCTTTTTGCACTAGCTTCCTGGGATATGTGGAATGTTCCCATTTTAATTAACCAACAACAACGTGAGACTTTTAATAAGCATTTTAATCAAACCTGCTTCTGAGTAAACATGGATTATTTAGAGCTTATTTTATGGTTCACTTACCCTCCCAGCAAAAGAAATAGGAAAAAATGCCCTAGTAAGCATCTCCAAACATAATTCTATTTCATCTTGAAACCCAATAGATAAACAAAGATATTAAAGTGTTTCTCTCTTTAGGTTTTATTACATGCCAGGTACCTACCCTGAGAAAGGCATCCAAAGAACCATTCTCCATGTACTCAGTTATAATCATGACAGGTTTACCTAGAAGTTGGAGATTAAAAAAAACAGAGTTCATATATGCAGACAATTGGGTTAATGGATAGGGCTTTTTAAAAACTTTGTTTTAAAAAATACAGAACAACTTCCAACCTATAGAATGAGCCAGAAAACAAATAATGTAAAAGTGTTAGTGAGTTTCAGCCAGAAAATTAGCACTTAAACTAACTCACTGACAAGGTCTTTAACTACAGTGCACATCATAATCTCCAGAGAGTATAAGAATCCATAATTGCTCACTAAAGAGAAATGGAGATGCAGTAATAGACCAAATAGGCCTATTTGCACTTGGAGTAATGTAAAGATAATTGCATCATTTGCTAGACAATTTGTATGTCTGTAGGCATTTGGCTGAAAAAAAAAAAATCAAAGTTATGGTTTGAAAGATACAGCCTATCAGCTGTAAGCAAAGATCCAGGTGTGGCATTCAAGAGTAATTTACTGTCTCTTTATTTAATTTATAATTTATTTATAATGTTTTAATCTTGCTTTATTCATTTGTTCTATCTTGAAAAGGCATGGCAAATTAGTCATCAAGCTCTACTCCAGAAAAGGCCAAATTTAATACAAAGCTGAAAACTAACTTTGGGTTGTCCATAAGTGATGCCATGCTAACCATTATGTTTTGAATCCATTATTATCCAATTCCAGCCATTGGTGTATTTATTCAAATAATATATAAACAATATTTAATTCTTAAAGTGTCTTTTATGCATATTCAAAGTTTTTAGAATCATTTGAGGATCCAATTGTGTACACATTTTTTTCTTATCGGTCCATGCTTCTTTGTAGATAGACTTTCTAAAGTTAAGTGCTTTGACCTGGGGGGGCATAAGTAATGTTTCCTTTTTAAGACTAAATTTGATTTTAATATGTCGTACATAGATCACAAAATGGGATATAATTCAAAGGAAGGAAGGACCCCGGTAGGATCTGCTGAAACATTTGTCTGAGAAAATTGGTCCTGGAAAGCATTTTCATACTGAAAAACTGCTATAATTATTTCTAGATTAGCATATATTTCACCCAGTATGTTACCTCAGCATGTTCTAGTATGGTTTCTCTTTATAAATATTTTTATTAGAAAACAATATACTATAGAACATTAATAAGCTGAAGCTTTTTTATCATTTTCATTTTTAGTGAGGAACACCTGCCTTAATGCCAGGTTCTTTGACATGTGAACCTTTACACTTCAGCCATTTCCAAAACATTCTATCCCTTGATCTTGTTCAAAATTTGTTTATAAGAAACATTTTTGTATGAATTACAAATGAGGCATCTGTGACCCTTAACTATTTTATTTGCACAAGCAATGACTTCTTTTTCACCCCATATGCAGAAATCAAAGACAGGCACATTAATATGAATTTAGACATTCTGACTAGGAATTCAATTATTTAAAGACAAAGGCTAAGCAAAGTCATTTGTCTTTATGTGTGAACATTCACTTCTCCTCACATTCATCATTGAAAATTGAATCTACTTAGTGCCAGGCTAGGTATATCCATGACAGGCTCTTTGCAATATGTCTAGAGTCACCTAACAAATATATTTAAATTAATTTTAATTAATTTTCTTCAATTAAAAGACATTTTATAAACTTAAAGAAGTATCATAACTTTTCACATGAATATATTAATTAATGGCTCTATTATACCTAAACAGAAGGTAGCTAATACAAGAATAAGGCAGGAGACAAGAATGACATGAAAATATTGTCTAATTCTTGAGCTTTAATTTCTGCTTCAACATATGATATAACTTGGAAATGGGTGATCTAAAGGAACCCATATTCCTGGTTCAATTTGGTTTCTACTCTAGGCAGTAATTAACTATCTAATGCAAAATGTTATATAGATTATAGAGAATAACAACTTTCTGAAATTTCAGAGCAAGTGTGCTCAAAACATAGCTGTCATAGGAGATTTATATATACACAAAATAGCTACCACATTGGTCATAGCTAATCACAGATTTTTTTTCCATAAGGCAAACATTTCAGTGAAACTTCTGTGAATGCTTCCTTCCTTCATTAACAAATTTCTAAAAGGTGGTCCAAAAAATATAGTAGGCATTAAAGCTAAGATAAGGAACATAGTAGGTATCAAGGGAGGAATTTGAAAGCTCATTTGTGTCTGATAGTATTTTGTTACCTGCTATATTAAACATGATGATAATCTACTAGACCTAGATAACCATATAATATCCTTGTAGAATCTCATCATTTATCCATAGAATAGAGCAATGGAGAAATGGAGCCTGGTCTGCAGGCTTTTGGTAAATAAGGTAAATATGGAACACTAGCTATAGCCAGAAGTTCTGATACTATTTTGTTTTATAGGTAGGAGGTGGGAAAGGGGACAGAATTATGTTAAACTCAATACAAATGTTACTGTTTATTTCCACTATAAACCACTATAAATCCACTATAAATTGTTTATTGGCAGAATGCTACTAAAATTCAGCAGCATGTTTCTTGGAGTCAACTCCCAATCCGAGAGAAGTAGTTTGAAATTGAAATTTAAAATTGATGCATCTATACTACCTTGTTCCTTCTCCTATCATTTTATTCCCACAAACATCAAAGACATTCCAACAATCTATATTATGTTATAATTTCAGGATTCATAAAGGCACTATATATCAACCAACACCTAATAATTCTATAGAGAATATTGATACCGGTCTGTTTACTAAAACCTGGATATGTTTATAAAGGCTTACAATCCTTACATGCTAGGAAATCAGGCTTCAAAATTCACTTGTTTCGGCCTACAACCTTCTGTTGGGAATTTTAAATCATTTTAATACAGTGACAAGTACATTATGCAAATACTATCTAGTCATTTATAACTGTTACAGCTGTAACAGCTTGGAGGTTAAAAGCCTCAATGGGGTTTCAGTATAAATATTCCCCTGTTGATTGCCTAGTTTATTAAGGTGGTATAAAAATCACTATAGCAAACATGTTGTGGACCAAGCAGAAATGTCTTCTTTAATGAAAAATACTTCTAAAATCATTTAAATTGTTTATATCTTAATTGAAAATACTGTAGAAACTAGGAATCTGTTTCTTACAAACACCAGGAATTTGCTACAAAGAAATTTAAGAACATATTCAAAATGCTGAAACTGTAAGCAATCTATCACTATATGTTTTTAAGTACAGTTGGAATGTTTGAAGTAGGAAGACTTGATAAAGAATAATCGGCAAAGATATAAAGTAAATATTGATTTCAAAGACAATATCTTCAAAAACGTACTTACATATCTTGCTTAGAAAGCATAAATATTACAGGCTTAGAATCAGAAAGTAAAAAGGGCCCATTTTGGTCATGTACTTCTGCTAAAGTCCAATCTAAAGAAAATTTCCAAAATTATAATTTTGTGGGCTGTTTAATACTCAGTGTTGGAAGAATTTGAGAGTTTTGAAATCTTTCTCTTCATCATTATGGTTTACAGAATTATATTGATTTGCTGATGGAACTTTCTGCCTTTAAAACGTATCAGAAGGAGAAGAGAAGGTGATTCCATTGGCTAAATAGGAAATCCTGGGTTAAATTCAGAGGTTTCCTTGGTAACAACAAGGAAACAACAACAAAACTTCTTCTTGAAGATGCAGGCACATTTTTAACTGTTTTCCTTTTACTGATAATATACCATCCACATCCAATCTATTTCTGACTAATTATCTGTTCTCAAGATTGGTTCTTGAGGGGATAAGATACATTGTTTGTATTTCTCTAGTTTCATTTTTTTTTTTTTGTTGAAATAAATTTAATTCAGTTATGATCGTCACCAGCGGTGAAATGCACTTACATTCGCTACCGGTTAGGGAATGTGAGCGTGCGTGCCTGTTCTGCGCATGTGCAGAGCCATCTGTGTATGTGCAGAGGGTCAAAAATGGGACATAATGATGTCCCGGCAGGCAGAGCCTCCCGCTGTCGGTGCTACCGGTTCGCGCGAGCTGGATAGATCCGGCCGGATTTCACCACTGATCTTCACAACAATGCATTTATCTATCTATCTATCTATCTATCTATCTATCTATCTATCTATCTATCGAAGGCAAGCTTCACAGATGCATTTTAATTCTGGCCTGAAAATTAGGACAATAGGTTTGTACCTTATTCTTCCTGAGATCAGACTTCATTGATATGCTGAATATTAACTACCTTAAAAGTAAGAAACCAAGTGTTGTCTAATATGGGAGAAAATGCATAAATGAAAGAAATCAGCAAATGCATACATAATATGTCTCATGTTAAGGGCAAAGATGATTTTGTTTTGAAAAGTTTTCTGTGTTCACAGCTGAATCTAAAATCTTTTTTAAGGTTTTCAACATTGCACTGTCCTTCAACTTTTATTAAACACAAACACATACATACATACATACATACATACATACATACATACATACACACACACACACACACACACACACACATACTTTATTACTTTACTTTATTGTCATTGCACCTCGTACAACAAAATTAAAGGCCATCTTCAGTGTACATAATAACTATAAAAATAAAACACATCACATCAGTGGTGGCATTCAGCCAGTTCTCTCCAGGTCGCACGAACCAGTAGCTGTGATTGTGGGAAGCTCCGCCTATACATAATGTGTGACTACTGCAAATGGACAAAGGCCGTGCGCATGTGCAGAGATGGCACAGGCGTGCGAAGCGTGGGAGTGCTCACATTTGCGAACCGGTAGGGAAGGTGAGTGAATCCCACACCTGCTTCACGTTCTATCCAATTGAATTGAAAATTCCTGATATTGCATTAATATTGCACGATAGATGATACATACATACATACATACATACATACATACATACACACACACACAGAGAGAGAGAGAGAGAGAGAGAGAGAGAGAGAGAGAGAGAGAGAGAAAGAGATTATTTTCCTTCCTTCCTCAATACTACCACATTATGAGGAATATCACTTCCTCATAATTTTTTAAAATGGGGGACTTTTTTAATCGTTCGCAATTTCTAAATCAAACAATCCTTCTACCATTTTACTCCTGTTCTTTTAAAAGTTGTGGTATTATGTTCCTTGTTAAATTATGCATAAGTTGCTTCAAGATAAGGTATCAGCTACAATGATAAAACCATTTACTGCTGACAACAAGATTAATGACTAGTCCTGCACTGATTTTGTATTATTAGCACTCAGTGGATCTATTCCATCTGTCATTTTACTGAAGGAAATGGGAAGAGAGGCAGGGAGGACCCTCTTGCACTGATTTTATTTCATAGCAACTTTCAGTTTGTCCTGCTTAAGACATGGCCTAATACACATTAGTGACAGATCATGGCCAACATACATTTAGTGACTACTCCTTCCAAGTGGATGATGTTGGGATGATCAAATTGTCCCATTATGCTGGCCTCACTCAAAAAGTCCCTTCTTTGTTTGTCTGTGTATCCAGCTTTCAGTGTTTTGATAGCCACACAGATCTCCCTCTTCCCTGGAACCTTGAGACGGCCACTGCAAACTTCACCAAATTCACCTGCAGAAAAAGAAGCATAATCAAAAGGAATCTGCTGACACACATCCATTTTTTTAAATGCAATTAAGACCTGACTACATTCCTTCCATTATGCGCAGAGAAGCTTTTGTCTGGTTTAGGCTGCATGCAATCCCAAAGTCCCTTTGCAACTTCCAATTGTGCAGTTCCTGTAGATTTCATTTAGCATCATTTAAAAACATGGAGTAGGAGTACCATTAAAAATGTAAAATTCAATATCCAATTGTATTTTTGACCTAGAGCTATATATTTTACATCACTGTTATGTTTATTGCATTCTTTTTTTCCCCTTCTCCTCCTCAAAAATTAAGAGCAATCTGTGGGCACACAAAGATTGTCCATCTTCATTCAAATGAGGATAATGTATAGTTTGGTTTATGATACGCCAACTTCACTTGGATTTATTCTATTATTTGCTCTTTTTGTTTATTTGAGAAAATAGAATAACTATAACTATAGAAATTATATTCTATAACTTGTAAAAACAGAAATATAATGGACTTGTTCCAGTCTTCTAAATTCATGTGTCGAAAACTTTAAAACTAGGTCTCATCAGAGACACTATAAACTATTTTATTCAAATGTTTTTGAAAATTGCCTGAAGACTGACAATATAAAGATGGAAAGGAATGTTTAAATTAAAAAAAAAAATAAACCAACAATTCAACACCCCAGTAAGCCTTCCACCATTAAAAATTTAGTGCTAACATGATGTCTTGAGCTTACCAACACCTATGACTTTTTCAATCTTTATGCATGAGGCATCAATTTCTTTGGCAAATTCCCGCACAGCTTGGTTGGGATCCTCATAGGTAAAGGGATCTACGTAGGTTCTGACACCTAGAATGCAAATATGATTTTCTGAAAACTTAAGAATTATTATACAAGATAGATAAATAGATAGGGAAAGAACATTGCTGCATGTCCACAGAGTATTATAAAACCTATGTAAAGAAAATAATATGCTCAAAAAGCCTCATGAATACATTACACAGATGGATGTAATATACTGAAGTCATATCCCATAACAAAGACTATACATTTGTGGGAAATGGGAAGATGTTTTCTTGAGTTCCAACAGTAACTTTGAGTTTTCAGTAGCTTACATCAAGACCAGCAATGAATACGCACATCCTTAAATTTTCTATTGATTCCTCTGCCCATGTGAAAAGGACTCCAATGGGATTTAAAGAAAGGAACAATTCCTATAAGTTCTACATCTTAGAAATCTTTTCATCTATTGATCATTTAAAAATCATATATATAAAAAGAAAAATTTTGCAATAGAATGGGAAAGAAAAAGGTGAAGGATGACTTTCTTTCTATGTTCAAATACTATGATAAATTAGATTTACTTAACTATATTTCACAATCTTAAATTGCCTGAATTAACCCAATTCATTAGGTCATAAATCACGATATAATATTTTTAATAACTTGGGCCATACAGTATGTTAAGAAACAAACCATATTATATCTGAAGGATGCAATGTGTAATTCCAGTTTATATATTCCAAGCCTCAATGTTTTCTCAAATGAAATAGTAATAGCACTTAGACTTATATACTGCTTCACAGTATTGTATAGCCCTCTCTAAGCAGTTTACAGAGTCAGCATATTGCCCCCAACAATTTGGGTCCTCATTTTACCGACCTCATAAGGATGGAAGGCTGAGTCAACCTTGAGCTTGGTGAGATTTGAACTGCCAAATTGCAGGCAGTTGGCAGGCAGCAGAAGTAGCCTGCAGTACTGTATTCTAACCACTGCACCACCGTGGCTCTTATACTTTACTTCTTTTAAGTATAATCTGAATACTATGTAACAGGGTGCAGCTTTGATAGGTATCTGCATGCATATACATTTTCTGCAGCAATTACAAGGTTACCCATAATAGAAATACTAATACACAGTTTGAATGAAAAGAGCTCCAAGTAAGGAAAATCAAGCAATAGAACTTGCAAAAAGAAAAAAAAAGATTTTTTTGCTCCATATGGACTAACTTTAAAAATGCATGCAACAGAAGAAAATCAAGCACTACTAACTTTTACCTTGATTTAAATGTTTCTCTTCATCTGCTTCTTGCTTAGCTTTACTGTATTTGCTCCTTCTGTAGAAATGGGGAAAAAAGCATTAGAGATTAAAAGAATTATCTGACTAGTGAATTATCATTCAGAGAGATTTCTGAATTCTTGGGTTATTTTACAGAATATGTCAAAATTTATTCTGTCAATTATCACAGGTACTGGATAATTTAAGGCCTACCTGAAGTAGACATTGCTATATAGTTTGCATTGTACTATTATTATCTACATCTATAGATATATATATAATCAATGGATATTTGGAGAAAGTGTTATGCATCAGTACTTTGCTATAAAACAATATACTTCTATGATCAGACTCATTTGTTTTGATTTCTGCTAATCAAAGAGTATGGTGGTACATCACATCTGTGATCTGCATTTGTTGCCAGATGGCTTATAAATATTATTCAAGGTGTTAATTATCACATATAAAATCCTTTGTGGCATAGTGCCTAGTTACTTAAGAAATGCTTATCTCCATATTCTACACATCCAGCAAGCTATGGCAGACTGGACGCAGTTCAGGGCTTCTCAATTAAACAATGTCAAGTGTGCCTTTTTTGTTGCAACACTTGCCCTCTCTAATAGTACTGCTCTATAAGATGTTGGAAAATTGCTTATTCTCCCACACCATGAGGTAGGATGGTGGTGACCCTTTTAGTATTTGGTTTTGCTTGGCATACTTTTTAAGACAAATGAGCGGCGTGGTGGCCTGGTGGTGAAGATCCTCGCCTTCCACTTGGAAGGTTGAGAGTTCAATCCTAGGTAGCGGCAGATGTTTCCTAGGGTGCAAAGAAAAAATATCTGCTGCAAACTCTGCATGGCGTCAGAAAGGGCATCCGGACAGTAAATGCTCAGTTCCATTCAGTCACCCCCAATTCTACCCTGAATTAAGGATTATAGAGTCATAAAAGGAAGTTTTTTTTTTTTTTTTACTTTTTAAGACAAATCTTTGTTCTTTTACTTTATTATTCTGGCTTTTAACTATGTAATGTATCCAGAGTCACTGGGGAGGCGGGATTTCCTAGCATTTTTTTTTTAAAAAATTGTAAATAAGATTAGGAAAAGGCTGGAATTAATTATTATAGCGATCAGATTTGCAAATAGAAGAGCCGGTTTTTGGCTGATATTTGGGCAGTGTTTCAATGGCAACTACTAACATGTACTTGATTAAGCTGTTTATACTTTGCATAATGAACCCTCAAGACTATTCATATTATTGTAATATGTGGTGTATCTTTAATCTTCAACGAAGATTAAACAATAAACAAAAGCAGCAAAGACATAGAAATGTAACAGAATGTTTAAGGAAGGGATTTTCACACAGTTAGAAAGAAATGATCATCTGACCCTAATATACATCTCCATAAATTCCTAGGGTCTCAGGATTCAATTCAGGGAATGTTCTTTAAATACAAGTCTTATTAGATATAATTCAAAACATTCTTATTCTGACATCATGGTGTTTTAGTCTTTCTCTTCTTTTTACTCTTCTGGGAGCTATTAATATTTCCCAGCATCAGGACATCCATAGTTATCCTAAGGAATAGTTTGGAATATACTGGATAAATCTGCAGACAACAATGAAAGTAACAATCACTTGTAGCCAATTATGATGGGTGCATTGTGATTAACACCAGCTGTCTGCAATTACTGTAAGTTCGAATCTCACCAGGCTCAAGGTTGACTCAGCCTTCCATCCTTTCTAAGGTAGGTAAAATGAGGACCCAGTTTGTGGGGGCAATAAGCTGACTTTGTATAAATATACAAAAGTATGAAGGCTATTGCTTAACGCATTGTAAGCCGCCCTGAGTCTCCGGGGAAGGGTGGCATATAAATCAATTTTTTTTAAAAAAATGATATTCTTTCAAAAGTATTAAGCCAGTTAGTCAGCCATGGGACCTTGGAATTCCAGGACTTGCAATTTTCACACTTTTCAAAGATATCAAAATGGATAAATTTGATTAAACTATTTTAATTATAACTAAACACATATTTTCAAAATAAAATATTAAAAAGATGCGACAGGAAGACACAAAGTAATACCAAATTTGATGTCTCTAAAAGTGACATGAACAAAATTCATTCACTATGCTCTGAGGCTTTGGATTCCTGCATCATAACCATGCCAAATGTTCACAAGTACATGACAGATTAATTATTATATCGACATTTCAATCAGAATCTTGACACAAACACATAGATTTCTGTTCAAATATGGGAGAGAAAAGTTTACCATGCAAACATATATAGGTTTATTATGTATTTAATCATAGTAAACAAGCTTCTGACTTTAATATATTCATAATATACCCTATAATGATTGGAATAAATGTTTTTATATATTTATGAATGATACATTGTTCAGAGGAAATCACCTCAAATACTTTTTATCTTCAATTAACAAGAACATCTAAAAAAATAACACACTAAAGAAGGGGGCAGATAAAAGAGGGCAGGGACTACTTTTCAGTCCATTAATTAAACCCTATTAAGGGCTAACAGAGGTTTCCCAACCCACTCTTTACTTAAATTCTATATTTATCACCTGTTGAGCTTTTACCCAGAATTGGAGACTACTGGGGCTTTTTATTTTGAAAAGTTTCTTTCTTTCTTTCTTTCTTTCTTTCTTTCTTTCTTTCTTTCTTTCTTTCTTTCTTTCTTTCTTTCTTTCTTTCTCCCTTTCTCCCTTTTGCTTATTTAATCATCAGGAGGGTCTGGAAAATGCTTAGGATGCCTGAGGAATCCTGGACACAAACTGACATTTGTAGACAGCTTACCTGCATGACAGCAAAGGAAGCTTTTGTCATATTCAGTTCTATAATTATAGGGATTTGGGTGACAGTAGTTAAATGGAAGGCGGGATTCAGGAAGGGAATACAAGCACTGTGAAAAAACCCTAGGGGTCAGAGATCCAGGCAAGTCTACAGGTGGGGTTTAGAGATAAAGAAAAGGTGGGTCTTAAAGCTGGCAGGCACAATACCGCACATGACAAAAAGTAAGTGCCAAGGGTATTAGCAGGTATTGTAAAGAAGCAGCATGTGATCCACATTCTTCTTTCCTAGTCAATGCATCAGTTTGCAATGTCAGCATTCACAGAGCAAAGTGGAAACACAAAGACCAACAAAAAGCTTAAAGAAGCTTGGATACTCTGTTGAATTAGAAGAGTGTGACCATACAGGTTTCCCCAAATTATCACTACAAGGCAACGGAACTCTTAGTTACTGAATTAAATTATTTAAATTATATCCTAAATTATTTGATTTAGTGATTATAATAAACAGCCTTCAGCAATACATCACTTAATAAGATACAATAAAACACATTAAACTATTCAATTTCCTTTTTTAAAGCAAAAACAATGAAAACCTCTTACTGAACAGTTTGCCATTTCTTTTATTTTAACTGACTACCTTTTATTTACTTACTGAAAACTTTATATCCCCTCCTTCCAGGGACAATATAATACTGGTATAAGCCTTAGAATATAGTATAAACATATAATAAAAACCCCCAAACATATTACAAAGCTAAAAATAGTGCAAACAAAAAACCTTATATCTAAATAAAATCAAATACAGAAGACAATCAATACAATTGATTCTGAGATTAATTAAACAAAAGTAAAATGCATAGTTTGAAATAGCTTTGTTTGGTGGAAACTGTTGAGATCTTCTATTGTTTCCATTGACTCCCCATACATCATACCTTTTGACAAACAGCTAGTTCATTTTTCCTGCATAATATGTGATATTAGCACTGGTATCATGTCAGAAATGCAAAGCATTACTGAAGAAATCGAACCTTGTAAGAATTGGTACCTTTACATAAAAACACAACAGCTCTGCTCCATCAGATCAATGATGCATTTGAGAAAGCTAAATAAACAGAGAAGGTGATAGCCCACTGTGGATTCCCAGCTGCTGGAATTTAAAGCATGATATCCAGTATTCAGGCTGTATAACTATATGTATTTAGGCCTAAATAAATATATGTATTTAGGTAAACAGGCATTGATGGTTTTAATCCTATTATTTTCTGAAATCTCTTTTTACAAATACCTAAATTTTTCAAACCTACATGACATAGAGATCCAGAATGTGCAAATATGAAGTAGGTAAACATTAATTACATACAGTAATCATCATCATCAACAACAAGCTGTTTGTATAACACAATAAGTATAATATAATTATAAACTAATTCATATATACAGTAACAAAGAAGTAAGCTATTTATAAACTCTGAATACTCCATGTTTCAAAAGAGTTGACTTCCAGGTAATTTCTTCCTCCTGCAGATTATCAACACTTTCAAATGTGGTATCATTGACAACCTATTAGGTGATGAACTCCATATGGCTAGCATATACAGAACCATATGGATCAAATCGAGCACATTTTGTGTCCAAAGTTGTCTATTGGGAAGCCATGAGCAGCACAAAAGTGTATCGACACACTTCAGTTTCTGGAACTGACAGAGATGTTGCATTTGATAACTATCATGATCAATACTCATAAAACTCAGTTTAAAAAAATGTTTTCTCCCACATTGTGTGTGTGTATGCATCTAAGAAGACTGTAAGAAATTTAGCTTACAAGTACATTTGTATTAAAGCAACAAGGGAGGATAATGTATTAAATTTAGCTTCAGGAAATAATTGTTTTTGCTTCAACACAAAATGTGAAAGTCTTATGTAGAAACTCTTTTGTCTTTAATAGTTTTTAACAGTCCTCAGCACAACTTTAAACATCTGTTACATACCATATTTGTATTTCAATTTCAGAGCAACACACTTCAGTCCAATAGTCATTTGCATACTTTTATAATAAACTCACAAGCAGTTGGGCCAAGCATCCAAGCTTTTTATAAATCACTTATTTGTTTTTGTCAAATAAGGCAGAAAAGTATACATGTCAAATCAGTTATCTGGTTTCAGCTTTATGCTGATATCAAAGAGAATCAATAGGAGGGCAAGGGGCTGACATTTCATTTTCTAAGAAGTGATCCAGTGAAGTCCAATTACTAGAGTATGTTTATCTGACTTCAGAGGTGATAATTTAAATAAAATAAAAATGAGGAAGTGGGATAGGAATTATTTTAGAGAAACTCAACAGGGACAATTCTCTAAGGTGCTGACTTGTAATTAGAAATCCAAAGCATCTAAGTATCAATCCTGTCTAAAATAATAAGGCAATCAATAAAAGCAGGAGGGAATTCAAGTCACCAGGTTCAGCAATACTATTTTCTGTTGGAATAGCTTTTAATAAAGCTATCTCTCTGTGCTGTATTTTCATAAATTATTTTTCTCTTATCAGCATGGAAGCTGGGGAAACAGCTAAACGCCTACTGAAATCTATTACAGTGATGACTAGTTCTCAGTTTTTATAACTGCATGAATTATATAACGGCTTTTGTTTTTTTTAAAAAAAAAGCTGAAAAAAACAAATAGGAAGTATATAAGAATGCATTAGAAAGTATATGATCTTATTCACAAAATCATGGATTATATCATCCAGTTTAGCTTCTTATTTTCAGCTGAGTTTATGAGAAGACTAGAAGCAGATCATGACACTAAAAAGGGTTTTTAGTATCTTAGTGTTCCAATAGAAAATATTCAGAAATAAAGCTTGAGTCATAGAGCATATGGACTTGGAAATGTTATGTTAACTAGATCTGGATATTGGCCTTTCTCAATAGAGTATGAATAATATAGCCTTCTGTTTTATTTACTAACTCTGGAGCAACATTTTTCCATCCCAAGAAAAGAAATAACTGGTGCCAAGCACTAAAATTTAAAATTTTGTCATCTTGAGCCAGGGTACTTTAATGGTCATTAGAATTGTAATACAATCTTAGAAATCCTTCAGTAGCATGGAGCCAAACGTATTCATTCAATCTAGGAAATTATTATATATGCATACTCTATTACTATTATTATTTTGAAGGATGGGGGGAAGCGATGGATTTATCAATCCTTTTCATCGAAATAAAACAGGACATCTGTTGGAATTAATATCCTCTAATGAACAATGGAACATATGGGGCAGTGGAAGAGGCTGCTATTGGAAATTCCTTCTGCAGTACAGCACAGTAATCTTTAGGGGTATGCAAAATGTTTTGAATTTGGACCATTTCAAATTTAAAACAATTCATCTTGACTTCAAAATGTCCTGCTTCAAAGAGAAACAGCTGTTTCAAGTGTGAAATAGGCTGTTTCCCTTAGAAGTGTTCTGAATTTGAAACAGAATGTTTTACTTTCCTGAACAGAGATGTTTCCTTCTTGAAACATTTCCACAATGGTTCAGAGCAGCCTATTCTGCATTGGAAAATAGTAGTTTTGCACTCGTAGCAGGGTGTTTCCAATTTAAACCAGAGTGAATTTCAAGCACTCTGCACACCTCCAATTTTTATTTCTACAGTTTATGCATCATATATCACAGTTCTAAAACTTCAATTTTTTTTTTTCTCTGTTCAGTGGACTACTGGGAAAAGGGCAGGAAAATCTTGCCAGAGGTAGAATAGCTTCGTAAGCACTTTTAAAACGAGGGCAACAGCCACATAAAATTCAGTAATAGGCTATCCAACCTTGTTTTAATCCTATCTAAATTCATATTTGATATCCATACATTAAATAACATAATATCAGCAGATCAGCACCATGCTGTGAGTTATTTGAAGTATATTTACATTTTATTTGATTTTTTAAATATTTATTGTTAATTTTTGCAAACTACCATTCTTACAATTCTTACAAACTACCAAATAATAGATTCACATATTTCTGTTCAGCCATGGAATGGGAAGAAAACGAAGAAAAAATAAAATCTGGTAATTTGAGAAATCACTTTTAGTATAATCTGAATAAAATGATATATATGGTAGATTGTATAAATTATTTGTTCCAATTTCTTGGTGCTAAAAATAAATGGTATACATTTCCTTATTAATATAACATACTATATTATTACTATTACAGTATTCATCTTCATTTGGGAAAACAAGTGCAGAAAAATAAAGAAACATATAATAAAATATATTCCCCGCATTTCCTTATAAAATAATTATCAATATATATTTTTTAAAAAAGCATGGGAATTAGAATCAGCTATTGTTTACCCCATTGTTTATAATCTTAAAAATTGTGAGAGATTCCCTCGCTTTAGTCGTTGTTCTATAGTGATTGAAGAATGACATAAGGCTATATAGACTTTTTTTTTCCTTTTAGTATCAGGACTTCATTTTCTTGGAACTAAGATAAATGGGTTAAATTCTGGCAATGGAGAATCTAAAGCAACAGAAGCAAAATATGAGAGACCACTTTTTTGTGTACATCAAACCTTTATTCTAAAAGAAACATAGAAAATTGACTGCCGAAAAAGACCTAGTGGTCAATCAAGTGGTCCATCCCTTTGAGTTTTTTGGGTTTTTTAATTTATGTGTTTATTTTTATTTTTTATTTATTTTTATTAATTAATTTATTTATTTTATTAATTAATCTTTGTTGAACCTTCTACCTGTCTTCTTACTACTTCCCTATCTCATTCTCTAACTTTCCTCCAACCAGATTGCCTGGTAAGAAACAGATAAATTTTCTAGAGGTCTTCTTCTACTTTCCTCATCATCCCATTAACTTCCTTCTGTGCTATTTTTTAAAATTGTAGTCCACACTTAGAGAAGACTTTGCCCCAGTGGTGAAATCCAAATTTTTTTACTACTGGTTCTGTGGGCATGGCTTGATGGGCGTGGTGTGGTGTGGCTTGGTGGGTGTGGCAGGGGAAGGATACTGCAAAATCTACTACCACTCCTGGGGGAAGGATATTGCAAAATATCCATTCCCACCCCACTCTGGGGCCAGCCAGAGGAGTATTTGCCAGTTCTCTGAACTAGTCAAAATTTCCACTTCCAGTTCTCCAGAACCTGCTGGATTTCAACCCTGCTTTGCCCCCAACGTTCACTGTGCAATCCTGTTCTTTCTGTATCTTCTTTCTCTGTCCCTACAAATTTTCCACCAGTAGTTGAAACTAAACCAAAAGAACGATGAGGTCTTTCTTATTGCAAAAGAAAAAGAAACTACTTGTCTGCCAGTTCTAAACCCCTTTCACTTACAGATAGTAGTGAGTTCCAAATATGCCGTGAACATTTCAAAGAAATAATTGTTTATTTATCTAATATTTTCCCTTTCTTGCTTTGCCCAAGAAGAAAGCAAGATAATTTATGCTCTGGGAAAAAAAAAACCTTTTACCTGTGAAAGTATGAGTAAAAGCTTTCTTTTCCAAGACTTTTAATTTAACCTGGCTGGTATACCCACTATGGAATATATAATGGTCTTCTACTCTGTTCCTCACAGCTAACAACAGCTGATGTGGCCAAATGCAGAAGTGATTAAAAAATCCAAAAAGGCATTCTTTTTTCCGGGTATAAGCTCAAATACAGGAGCTTGTTTCATTCCATCTCCCCAGAACCCCTCCTCTGGCCTGGCACTCTTAGCACATAACTCATCAACCCAGAATACTGCATTCATCAAATTCTACATCAAATTACAGTCTGTCTTCAGATCTCATGTTGCTGGCTTGCATCTTAAAACCTCCCACCACCACCCCCGTAGCTAGAATTGGTTTTGCATCCGAAGAAGCAAATAATTCTAGAACAATTACCATTACATTACATGCTGCTGCAATACTGATGCTGAGAAGATCAAAGCAACACAGGAGAAGTCTTGTAATGCAAATGCAGTGTTTATGATGCTAATCAAAGAATTTAGCTTTGTTTCAAGGAGGCAAAAAGCTCCCACATGAAAGAAAAGGGGAAAGAAGGGGAGCTTAAACCCTTACCTCCTACTGATGACAAAGGCAGCAATGAGAATGACCACGAGGACAACACTGCCAGCCACTGAGACCAGAAGGACAGTGGGATTGGTGCCTTCACCAATGATGGGAGAAGGAACTAGGGAAAAAAACCATCAATACTTGTTAAGATTCTGCAGTTATGTCACAGATAGGAATAGCACAGGATCAGACAGTGAGGTATATGCAGTTTATGTGAAGATGAAGACAGTTCATCTTTGTCAGACTTTGTCCAGAATTATTCTGTCATTATTCTTTCAGTAGAGATATTCATTTGTAATTCTTTTCCAGGAAAGCCCTAATTAGTAAGACATTATGCTCCATAATGAATTTTGGGGAAACTCTTCAGTTTTTCCCCTTCACTTTTACTCTTGAGAATATAATGGCTGATTTAATGCCTGCTGAGCTGTTTCCCTTTTTATTTAATTTAAAATGGACCAGATGCTTATTCCTTGACTATGAGCAAGAGGAAGACTCAAACAGAACAAGATGTTTTCCACTCTCTTTAGCGACATAGAGCACTTCACATTCTTACATGCTCTGCCTGAGGGTTGTTAACATTGAACAGCATAACCTGAAATGATTAAAATGTTTCCATGCAATGAACATTAAACATCTAATCTCTCCTGTTATTTCAAGAAGCAACTATGTTTTTTTTAACATTTGTCCAACAGACACACGCACAATATTGACATTTTATTTCTCAAATGAATCAAAGAAGAGAAATGAATAGCTAGATCTAAAACAGTCCCTCATTATATTGAACAAAGTTTTCCTCTTTGGCCAAGAAAGGCAGCAGAATGGCAGTTGGATTTGATTGTCTGATTGTTGGCCAATGAACTGGAATAGGAAGGAAGTGAAGATCCAAAGCTGTTAGCTACTGGCCCATCTAGCATGATTACTTCATGGGAAAAAGTTCTCTAGGATTCCATATATTCTCATTCCTAAATGTGCTATACACCAGAGAAAGCCCAAGGTATATTGAGGCCTGAAGTCAAGAACAAGTTGATACCCTCATCTATCCAACATGTATGCAAATTAAGTGGACTGACAATTCATAAATTATTCATGACAATTCATTATTATTGTTTTAGGGAGCAGTACATGTGCACAGTATACCAAAAGTCAGGAATGTTCAAAAGTTCTGTGTCAAACAAGTACAGAAGTATTTAGGGGGGAAAAGCCCCAATTCTTGCATTAATATAATTTATAATTGTCTATGGGGCCCGATTTTTAGTATACTTTGCAAATCTACCATTAGTCAATAAATTAAATAGCAAAACTAATATATGTTTTCTCATTAAAATATTAAAGACAGTTTGCCTGTAATATAAAGATAACTATGAATGTAAGTAGAGGGATTATGCTGTTATTTTATTTCCTCTCTTTTGCTTCTGGCATTCTAAATCTATGAACTCAAGTTTATACTTGTGTTTGGAAGTCTCTAATCCTGAAAACTTCCAAACACAAATGACTCAATATAATCCAAGGACCTATTTCTCTTTTCACAAAAAAGTAGATATTAGGATATTGAAACTAAAGACCTAAATGTCCATCTCTGATAATGTTAGTAACATGCTTCTTTTTTCTCTCTCTTTTTTCATTGCTGGAAAAGGTTTGTTGAGTATAATGTAGACAGAGTAAAGGAGACAACATCCTTGCATTTCAGGTGAACACAAAAGATCACACTTCCAATTGGACTCTTAGTAAAAGCAATAAAAGCAACAAAAACACATAAACACAGCATATTTTTGTTTTCTTAGTCAAAGCTTGGTAATGAATTCCAAACCACCACCAACAAATCATTCATATTCAACTCAAATGCATACAATATGCTTTTGAAATAGTGACAAGGGAAAACGCCTCTATTACCCCAGTGAGAGATCTATTGTTATTACCTGTGTTGGTTGTGAATTCAAACGGTCCACTGAAGTCTCCATATCCAGCTGCTGTCCTTGCTCGCACATGAAAGACATATGAAGTCAAAGGATTCAAGCCCTTGATATCGGTATTTCTGGTTGCTGTTTTCACAATGCGATAGCTACGCTCGTTTTGGTCCTAGCAAAGAGACAGAAAAATAAAAAGGAGGAGGGAAATGACTAAGGAGGTCCCCTGAAGGTCTTGGATCTTTGTATTTTACTTATTAGGAAATGTAGTCACATTTAGATAATGAATGTGACTTTTCTTTTAGTGATTCTATTATTAGTTTTAATGACATGAGTGTTATGGACTTTTATATTTTGTCAGAGGATTTTTCTTGCCTGAAAAAGCAAAGAGGATATCTATAATTTAAGCTCTGCTGAGAAAAAAGACAAGAAATAAATTTTTGGTAAAATAACAAAGAAGTTGTCATCCTCCTCCTGATGAACTAACAATGTTTTATTTCTAGTAGTCTTTTCACACATTATCCCCTTTCCTTTGCAGTTTAGAACTATAAATCCTAAAATAACTGAAGGAATGGCTGCCAATCTTCTCCAACTTTATTCTGCTTTTCTGCCTGGCAAATACCTCAAGAAAAAAAAACCTGTAATTTTGTTCCAGGGAAAATCTTCTAGTCATTTTTGATACAATTAGGAAAAGAAATAAAGGGATTATATTAAAAGAAATGCAAAGAGAAACAGAAGGAAAAAGTAATTGTTCATTTTGCAGACAACCTTGAGAGGAAATAGATCTTTTTATAGTTCTGAAATGGAGGAGCAACAAATTATATTATAGAAATAACAATTCTGCACAATTTAGAAGAGGCGAAGAATGTAATTTTCTTTTCCTTGTTTCCTATTAAAATTTATTAAACCCTCACTATCATTCTGGGCAAAAGCTATCAGCTCATACAGAGTTCATTATTATTACTGTGTTATATACTTCATTATTACACATCTGTCTCTGTTGTAAGGCTAATGTTGCACTGCTTCTCTGTTCTATTGATTCTCATTACAAATAGCCTTATTAGGATCAGACAGTTCCTAGAAAAAGAAAAAATGCTAACACTCTTACCCACTAAAGAAAAAAATATATGCAAGTTGTTATTCAGTTTAACTCCTTAGATATATAAACTGTCAAAATGGGTATGATTATAAAACCATTTTTTCTTAATAAAGTCCTTTTATGTGATGATAACTGTGTGCTTATTTGGCTCAGGGATCAAACATTTTGATGAAATGGGATTTTTCCATAATGAATAATGATACCTTTTCATAGTATTTAACTTCATATTCCAAGATGACTCCATTTGGCCGGTCAGGTTCCAGCCAAGCCAATGCCACACTGTGCCTTGTTATTTCCTTAGCTTGGATCAAAGCAATTTGAGAAGGAGCTGCCAATAAAGAGAGATTGGGAAATGTCAGGCAATGTTGTCAGAAGAAGTCCAAGTATTGAATGATGTTGGAATGTTTGTATTTTTTTTAGCACACACATATATCTTGAACATATCAAATAATACAACTCAGAACAGTTCTAGCTTTAGGCATATTGGCATGACCGGCAGATTATTAACATAGTATTTCTGCATTAAATTATATTTTAAACCCCTGGGCTTTGATGGCTCCTCCTTTTTTGTTATGCTGATTTTATGGCTTTATGCCAACTCTCTTTTAATACAAGTATTTTAATGAAGACTTTCAAACTATTCTGGCAAGGGAAAATAATGAAATATTGTTGAGTGACATCAGCAGTACAGTTTAATTGATTAATTATATCTGCCAATTACATCAGGAGACTGAAACTAGCAAAAGCATCTATGCTGTGAGGAAGGATTAAGTGATATCAAACACACAATAAAATAATAGGTTGGTGAGATGGAGTTTATTTCCTTTAAATCAAGCATTATTTCAAATCATCTTTTTTTCCAATGATTCCTAGGTGTCCGTTTCACTGTTACGCTATCTTTTGTCTAGAGAAATGGACGAAATAACAGGAAAAACCAATGCCAAGAACATTAGACCCTATAAACTGACACTTGCACATCCTCATAGAAGAGCAAATAGATAAGTAACATGTCATGAATCATGATATCATACAAATGGTGAAAATTATATGTGTATTTTTAATCACAATACATCTGATGCAGATTACATAATGTGTCATGCCACAAATGATGGGATTGTGGCTTTTACTCACAACAATTTTACATGACCTAAATGTTTCCTTTCCCTCATATTAAGTAGCCAGGTCTTCTAAATTTTTGCTGGTGCCCTTCTCACACTCTCTGCCATTGTCAGGCAAGTGGGATAATCAGAAATGTGAAGAAAATGATGTTATAGAATCCTTGTCTCCTATTTGCCTAGATAAATATGAAGTCAGTTTTTTCTTAAAAATGAATTTTTAAGCAACAATAAAACTGTATCCGATGTAGCGAAACAAGCTTTTTTAGTTGCTGTTTGAATTGGCTATATTGATTATATATCTTATGTGGCACTTGGGACAGAGATCATGGAGACAATATGGAAGTAGTCCAAGTACCATAAATTTGAAATGGTTTTAGAATCAAGAGGTGCAGGGAACCTGTCTGTTATTAATCAAAAAGCTTTCCACATTATACATATACATATACATTTTATTTTTTTGTTTTTTTCTGGTTTTAGTCTAACCTAATAAATAGAAGTACCAATTACAATGACCAACATTTCAAACACAGAACTAAAAGCCATTCACATGTAACATCTATTATTTCCTTCATTCCCCACTCTAATACCATAAACTTTCAGCTCTTCTGAGCAGAAGAGCCATGTTACTTCTAATTCAGCTGTGGCTCAGCAGGAAATATATTCAATACATTTACCGGTATATTTAAAGTTGGGTTTCCAGAATTAAAACAGTGGACCTGTTTTCCACTGGCAAGGACTCTGCTTCCCAGTTCTTAGGCTGTCCCATTTCCTTGCTAAGAAACAAAGCTGTCGTACTTCATACTAGCATCTTAAGGTGTCTTTCATTTATCAGACAAGACAATGACTTGGTAGTTTGGCAGGTTTCCAACAAACCAACAAAATGACAAACCTGGACATGGGTAAAGGAGTAAGATGCTAGTCATTTCTTGTCCTTGCTTTTGCTCAGCTGCATTTTCTCATGAAATGTTATTAATACTTCAGGAATAGCAATGCTGAGGGCAATTGCAGTTTTAAAATGTGTCAACATGGCTTGGCACTAGAAACAGGGACCATGTGGAAGTGTCCAAGACAATTTATTTCACCTTGACGTTTTTGTCTTATTTTCATCCCTTTTCCAAAAGACAATAGATTTCTTAACAATTTAACCAGTATTATAAAATTGATTAAATTCTAAGCTTTCTTTTATATATTTAAATGCAATACGGAATACTAAGATAAAACAAACAATGGAGTAAATAAGAAAGAAATGTATCAATAGAAGCTTCTGAAGGTCTCCTTTATGGTATCATTGGTGCCTGAACTTCAGATGTTTAAAAGGCCAGGGGACAATGCTGTTTCCTTTAACTATGACAGAAACAGATTCGTAGACCTACTGGACGAATGGGCTTTCAGAAGATTTATGATTCAAGGTGCCCGGTCCTTATTTTTCTGTTACTGTGTGGTCATGTCTCTAGCCAGCTGTTATCAAGTCCTGCCACAACTGACACAGCTTTGATACAAATGGTGGTGGTCTCCAGGGAAGAACAGATATTTTTTTTAATCTTATCAGCAAAAGCTGTGCTGTATACCCAGAGATTAGACAGCTTTCCAAATTGAATATATTTCTTCCTTTGTCCCTAAAAAAAACCCCACCTAGAAATATGCAGGTGCTTATTTTTGAAACAAACAAAACAAAACCAGCAATCAACAACCATCTGAACATTTATTAAAACCTTTCAATAGAAATTATAATATAAATACCCCATAAAAAATGGAAAGAAAGAAAGAAAGAAAGAAAGAAAGAAAGAAAGAAAGAAAGAAAAAGATACAAATATAATTACATTTGTCTCTTGTTTTATGTTATTCCATATAATTTGTAAATCTCAAGGAATACTTTAAATAACCATATAAATATATGTCACAAGGAATAACAATAAAAATTGGACATGTAAACTTCAGAATTACTTGACATATCAGACAGACCTGATGGGAGAAAAACTAAGCAGCAGGCACTCTCTGTCAGGAAGACTGTTTTCTGATCTACATTTTGACAGTTTGGCATCTCTGTTAAAAATTATTCTGGAGCTTTGCTTCTGCATCCTTCAGCACATCTGCCAATCTGTCTGTTTGTTCCTTACCCTGAAACTTATGTGCATGAAAATATACTGAGTGACAGAAGCAGGAGTGGCAGGATTCATTAAAATGGATATCAAGTTACATCAAGTTATTTACATGAAGTAACCAGTACCAACAAATAGAATTACACTAATTTGATAACCCAGTTGTGACCCTGATACAAGGACAAACTTTTTTGCAGTGTTTTTGAATTTATTTACAAGTGTCAACACTCAATGAAGTAAATCTACCATCCTCTTCAAACAAGAAGAGATTAGTGACAATCCAGCCATAAAATCACATTTTCCAGTTAATCAGTATCTCAGACCAGTTGTATTACTCTTTCATGTAGAAACATTCAATGACTGATCCTAATAATCTCTGAGTGAATTTCAGTTTTCTTTCCCTCGTCTCTATATAGTCACAGATATTTTAGTATGAAGACTGTGAAGTGATATCTCAAAATATTTGGGCTGAAAGAGTTTTCTCCTAGTACAATTCAGGTATACTGCAACTGCAGCCAATGTAATTTTACAATTTTTGGAATTATGGGTTACTAAACAGAAAAGAAGATGCCAGGATGTGGAAGACTTATCCAAAGGTTCATTTCTGCAGTAAAAGTACTGTACTGTTCATAAGCAAACACTGATCACAAAAACTCCCTCAGCTTATTTAAACTTGTAACGTCCTCCCAGATAAAAAATAAACCAGGTGTTCATTTCATTCTTTAATTTTTGTCTCACTTTCAAATATTTTAGCCCATCTTTTCTGAGAAGCACTTGGCCCAAATCTTTAGTTACCATCTGCTACTATAAGTCACTTTAGAAGTATATCTTTTATGTGCAACTGAAACATTTCCATTTAGTCTTCTTTTCCTTATTCTTTCTATATTAGTAAAAAATAAAAAAATATTAAGTGCTGTAAAATGTAGGCACCAATGGTACTATGAGCCGTGGTGGCACAGTAGTTAGAGTGCAGTACTGCAGGCTATTTCTGCTGACTGCCAGCTGCCTGCAATTTGGCAGTTCAAATCTCACTAGCTCAAGGTTGACTCAGCCTTCCATCCCTCTGAGGTGGGTAAAATGAGGACCCAAATTGCTGGGGGCAATATGCTGACTCTATAACCACTTAGAGAGAGCTGTAAAGCACTGTAAAATTGGTATATAAGTCTAAATCCTATTGCTATTGCAATACCACTTTTAATAGCACATTCCATTTGGCTGCACTTGCATCTGCCCATACTCATGTTATGCTGATTGCCTCTGCTGGGTTGCAGTGTTATCTGTGTATCACAGTACCACCTTGCTCAGTTGCACTAGTGCTATGCCATACTGTACATAATGCTTCTTCCATGCCCTTGCCCACCTGCCAACCTGCTTGCGAGGAACCTAAAGAAAAACTTATCCTGACCTGAATTTCCTACAAGTCCACATTGACTTTGCTTGCTGGAAACCAGTAAGAAACAAGCTGTGGTCATATGACATCCTTGCTTAATGATTATAATCCTCATTTAATGATGGCAATGGGGACTGAGGGGATTGCTATCTTGATACTGTAAGATACCAGAAATCATTTAGAAAGGTCTGTCATTAAATCTATCAACCTCTGGCAAAAGGATTCGATATCAGGGTGAGGAATATTCCCTTCTGATGGTTAAACCACATAACTTTAAAATTAAAAAAAAACTTTAAATTTAAAATTAAAAAAATAAAATATAACGAAAAACAGAAACATCTTTTTGTTTTAATCTAAAGATACCATTTCACCATGGAAGAAACCAGTATGCTCTTTTACTTCTTTGAATTACACTTTTCCTAGCTTGAAAAACTGTCTAGAATACCATCTATCCTCTATGATAGCTCTTACCGTTGTGATTATAGCTCAAAAAGCTTTTAAGATAGAAGAAGGTTTGATTGTTCCTATCCCAGCTAGGAAAATCTTTCCACTTTCAAGAGTGGTCTTCATGCCTAATGGAAAAGACATAAAATGCTAAACCAGCTCTTTCTTCCTTCCATGAATTTTTATCGGAGGTCTACAGATCTGAAAAAGACCGCATGTTAATTTCCTAATGCTTCTTCTTTTCCTCTATATGAAAAGGACGGCCACTAAAGATGTG